TGCTGACATTGCTTCCAGAGGCAGTTAGGAACTAGGTAGTGAGTGTTGCAACCGAGGACAGACGATTTCTACACACTACCCGCTTCAGCACTCGGCGGTCCAGTTCTGTGAGCTTGTGTAGCCTACCATTTTGTGGCTGAGTAGTTGTTGCTCCTAGACGTTTCCACTTCACAATAACAGCATGTACAGTTGACCGTGGCAGCTTTAGCAGGGCAGGAATTTGACAAACTGACTTGTTGGAAAGGTGGCATCCTATGACGGTGCCACATTAAAAGTCACTGATCTCTTCAGTAAGGCCATTCTACTGCCAGTGTTTGTCTATGGAGATTGCATGGCTGTGTGCTCGATTTTATACACCTGTCAGCAATGGGTGTGGCTGAAATAGCCGAATCCACCAATTTGAAGGGGTGTATCTCGGTGTTTGTTCGGATAGCATTTCGCTCTGGAGCCTGCAGCCTTGCTGGCTTGGTCAGAGGCTATCGAAGGGCCTAATTAGCCCATACACCCTCGATCATTTTCACTCCCTCAGCTTTGGGACATTTGTGCATATGGCGGGGCCACGTGAACAAGCAAATGGAGGCCTAAGTGCGTGGGGAAGGAGAAGGGGGTAATTTGGGACTCAGCCTAAATTCTCTTACTTATACTTTAGTCTAAGAACGTTTTTATTCATTAACTCGAAAGTTAAGACTGCAAAACCACTATTGGTGAGTGATAACCACCCAGCACACTCTTGCATTTTTTTATAAAACAGTAACCGCTTTAACTTTATCACAAACATCATAAATTGATTATGGATGGGGGAAAGAGCAATCATATAAACTGCGGGGCAATAAGGTCAGAAATATACTGAAAGAAGTAACATTTCAAAGAAATGTATTACAAAATGCAGCAAACTGTCAAGCAACATTCATCTTCTCTCCGTTGGTCCCGTGTCAAACAGGGTTGTATTAGTGAGATCTCTGAGCTTTGATGAAGAGGCACATCTGACTCCTCCTTGACACATCATGTCTTCATCTGGATGCTCTGGAATACTCTGGACTTTTGGTACCTGCAATACCATGTGTAAATATACTGTAGGTCAAAACCATTGGGGTAAATGTGAAAATATGAATGAATGAAAATTGTATTTATAATTTCTATAACTAATGCCATAGAGATCCTATTAAATTACTAGAGGGGCTATGTCATACACCCTCAAAGTTCTAGAATGGAGTAAAAATGGCAGCCATATTGGTCAGGAAGAAATCCAATCTAGTCTAATTGGAATGAATGGCAGTAGAGGCATAATCCAGATTTTACTTATGCAGGCGGGAAAAAGTAAGGCGTGTGATATTGTGTAATATAATTATTGTCACCCTAAAATATTGTCATATAATTATAAATGCAGTTTATACGGGTTTTATACCAATGTTCTGTATAAACAGCCTTTATAATATACGTAAACAGGCCATAAATGTCTTTTTTTCTTGTAACGCTTTGAGGACTATTATACACTAGATATACAAAAGTATGTGGACATCCCTGCAAATTAGTGTATTCAGCAATTTCAGCCACACCTGTTGCTGACAGGTGTATAAAATCGAGCCCACAGCCATGCAATCTCCATAGACAAACATTGGCTTTAGTATGGGCTTACTGAAGAGCTCAGTGACTTTCAACGTGGCACCGTCATAGGATGCCACCTTTCCAACAAGTCAGTTCGTCAGATTTTGCCCTGCTAGAGCTGCCCCAGTCAACTGTAAGTGCTGTTATTGTGAAGTGGAAACGTCTAGGAGCAACAACTACTCAGCCGTGAAGTGGTAGGCCACACAAGCTCACAGAATGGGACCACCGAGTGCTGAAGCCCGTAGTATGTAAAAATCGTCTGTCCTCGGTTGCAACACTCACTACCGAGTTCCAAACTGCCTCTGGAAGCAACGTCAGCTCAAGAACTGTTTGTCGGGAGCTTCATGAAATGGGTTTCCATGGCCGAGCAGCTGCACACAAGCCTAAGATCACCATGCGCAATGCAAAGCATCGGCTGGAGTTGTGTAAAGCTCGCCGCCATTGGACTCTGGAGCAGTGGAAACGCGTTCTCTGGAGTGATGAATCACGCTTCACCATCTGGCAGTCCGACGGACAAATCTGGGTTTGGCGGATTCCAGGAGAACGCTACCTGCCCCAATGCATAGTGCCAACTGTAAAGTTTGGTGGAGGAGGAATAATGGTCTGGGGCTATTTTCCATGGTTCGGGCTAGGCCCCTTAGTTCCAATGAAGGGAAATCTTAACGGTACAGCATACAATGACATTCTAGATGATTCTGTGCTTCCAACTTTGTGGCAACAGTTTGGGGAAGGCCCTTTCCTGTTTCAGCATGACAATGCGCCCGTGCACAAAGCGAGGGCCATACAGAAATGGTTTGTCAAGATTGGTGTGGAAGAACTTGACTGGCCTGACCTCAACCCCATCGAACACCTTTGGGATGAATTGGAACGCCAACTGCGAGCCAGGCCTAATCTCCCAACATCAGTGCCCAACCTCACTAATGCTCTTGTGGCTGAAAACGTCCCTGCAGCAATGTTCCAACATCTAGTGGAAAGCCTTACCAGAAGAGTAGAAGCTGTTATAGCAGCAAAGGGGGGACCGACTCCATATTAATGCCCATGATTTTGGACAAACAGGTGTCCACATACGTTTGATCATGTAGTGTATGATTCAATATCAGTACTTGTTGCATTTACAACTTGTCTAAGTCCTATCATCAACTGATTTCAGCCAGTGTCTGGCTGAGGATTGACTGCATTTTAAAAAATGGAATGTTGGCATATTGGCAGTTAATTTGAAAAATTAATGGAATAATTCCTCTAAAACTGACTGGCTAGCTAGCTACCAAACATACAGTGCAGATACATTCTTAAAATTCATTATTTTACACAATATCACAGCACTGGCAAACCATGGTTGACCAACTCCCTGACCAAAATGGCTGACCTTTATGCTATCATTAGGTTCATGTCCATTCTAGTATTTTAGTAATTTATAATTATATGGCTAATGCCATCTTGTCGATAATGTTCCCTCACCTGAGAAAATATCATTTTGCATCTCCATGGACAGTCCCTTATCAATCTCAACTCCTCCTCTCTGCTCTCAGTCAAAGAGTGTCCTGAAGGTACACATCCCATTAGACTATCAGAGTATGAGGAGAAGCTGGAATTCCTTAACTCTTTCATAGAGGGGTTTAGGTAGGAAGGCTGCACCTGTGCTCTGCGCGCCTAGGTGAGACTACACAGCCAACAGGTGAGGTGAAGTGCCTCTAGGCCTACTCAGTTGTTTGCCTACTCTGTGACGCCATAATAGAGAAATCGACAGAACCTTCCATTTAATAAAATTATATTTAATAGAAGGATCTGGATAAATAAATTTTTGTTGTCGGCAGATTGTATTACATGCGTAACAGTGTGAACGTTTTGTAATACAACGTGTGCATTATTTCATTTTATCAATAATTTCTTATTGTCACTTTCTATTAAAACTCTTATTCTGATAATACCAACTGTAATTATTTGCCTATTAAAAATGGATTACAAAGGCTTTGTTATATAGTCAATGGAAGGTTCCCAATGTCAAAATGCAACACCAATGGAAACAAGCTATTTGATTGACAATATCTGGAGCACAGAATAATTATTGTTTTCCACCCACTTAATCCTTGCAGTAATGAGCATTCAATTAACCCATGGGCTTTAACAAGATTTATTCGAATGTTGCCTCAGGTGATTTTGCATCATTTCTCCCCGCCTTCTAACAATCCGATTCCAGTGCATTTGCGGAGAATCCAAAAGGCCTCCGCCTCTCATGGAAGCTCTTTGTAAATTCTGCCTTGTGACCAAACAGTGGCCTGATTAGAACTCACCGCCGATGTTTGTCTGGACTAGGGGCTGCACATGCAGACCTAGCTAATTGGGTGAAATATTTAATAGTCTATAAAACCTAATAAAATGTTGCCAAAGAAGTATATGGGTGGCAATATTTAAAATGCAAAGTCCGTTATTGTCAAATGAGTTCCATGACATAGCTAGCTACTTTAATAGATTAATTACCTGCCAGTACCACCATGCAGTGCCAGTCCAAGTAAATGACCCCATTCGACACCAGGGCAACATTTACGCGTCATGGGTACAGTAGTGCACCCTCTGACATGACCTCAACCTCAACTCTCCATCCTCCATCGGTAGTAGGTTTCAACCCCTGAAAGCACATTAATTAAACCCAGCTTGCTCAGACATGCTGCTGAGAGAGCGCGGATTGCGTGCAAGCTTTGCAAACCTTCCCATTCTAGACAAAGAAAGACGTTTGTTCCGACATTCTAATTTAGGTCACCACCAATGCCTTTTGTGGAATCTAAAAGATGTCCAATCTCTTGGGTTAGAAGAATCACGCCATCCTTGTTACCATGGAAAGCGCGAGAAGAACCTCCTCCTTGCTTGCAGCGTCACAAAAGTTAAATCTCGATTTTTGGTGAAAAGGGGGACGGGGAGGTAACTTGCGGTCAACGCACGGCAGAGTAGCCTAGGCTGCCAGCAGTAGTACACGCCATCCTATTAACCCTATCGGTTCTGCTTTCTTTGATTATTCGCCTATAAATAAATAGAATGAGTGTAAAAGACAAAGACGCACGCAAAAATGTGCCTTGCTGTCAATATACTTTCCTGTAGTTATTGTCTCATTCGGATATAAATAAATTCAGGCACAAGTAGGCTGATTATTTTATGTTGAACTGCTAGTAATTGTAGAATAGCCATGCTTTTATGTTTAAATTACTAAGCATCAGTTTGCGCACATTCTGAAATTGGCCACAGTCTCAATGGATTCTGTTGAAATAATGGAAAGTGTGTAATCGGCCACTGAAGGGGTTAATTTTATGTGTCAGACCCCTCCCATTATTGTCAGTCATCGTATTAATAATCGCACCACTAGAAGTGTCGCATTAAAGCCGGTTTTGGCGAGAGCCCGGTGAAAGCAGTGGTGCTGTCTCAGTGCGCGTGGTGCTGAAAGTGCCATCTGAAGTAATGTGGTCGTTATTCTTTTTCTTTCTGTCTTATCTGGACAGAAACTTTGTCAAGGGAGAATTCCCCAATTATTCCCTAGAAGCAGAGAAACAGAGTAAAGATGTGTTTTTCATGCTCAACAGCACTTTCTGTGCCAAAATGTCAGGCATGGGGGGAAATTGCCTTTACCAAGTGTCAGACGGAATTGAGGAGGTGCGCTCCGTGCATGACTCCGCGGGTAAACTGGTGGACTGCTCAGTAACCATCAACCAGATGCAGGTGAAGTCATTCATGCATGTGTGCAGATTGGGACTGAAGCACCAGAGAACCAACCCAGAAGATATGGAGTTGAGTTTTACAGACATGGCAGAAGCCAAATACAACTGTCAAGCGTTCCAAAAGACATCAAAGCGCACGATGGTCACCACGGAGAGGATAGCCGCGCCAACAGCACAGACACCGAAGGAGACGAGAGAGAATTCTGTCCACGAGGATGACAAGCAGGTGATACGGAGATCCAAGCGAGGATTCACTTATCCTGGAACCCTGTGGTGTGGAGCTGGCAACATGGCTGATAATTACGATCATTTGGGTATGTTGCGTAAAGTTTGATATTATTCTGTATTTTAGATGCACGATTATCTATTCTGACCACATCTAGCCATTCAACTGTTTCACTGATTTCGGTGCATGTTGGTTTGTTGTGTTTTTTAATATACACTCTCCATTTGCAGGAGAGTTCGCGGCGACTGACAGTTGTTGCCGCGTTCATGACCACTGCCCCTACGTCATCCATGCGTTTTCCTCAATGTATGGCTACACCAATTTCAAGTGGCATCCCCTTAGTCACTGTGACTGCGATAATGCGTGAGTTGCCTACAATATAGTTGGAACGCCTTTTTGTGTTTATTTGTGTGTTTGTATTGTATTTGCAAGACATTGCAAGACATTTGGAAATTGAGCAAGTTGAGGTGACTAAACTGCTTGGAGTAACCCTGGATTGTAGACTGTCATGGTCAAAGCATATTGATACAACAGTAGCTAAGATGGGGAGAAGTATGTCCATAATTAAGCACTGCTCTGACTTCTTAACAACACTATCAACAAGGCAGGTCCTATAGGCCCTAGTTTTGTCGCACCTGGACTACTGTTCAGTAGTGTGGTCAGGTGCCACAAAGAGGGACTTGGGAAAATTGCAGTTGGCTCAGAGCAGGGCAGCACGGCTGGTCCTTAAAAGTACACGGAGAGCTAACATTGATGACATGCATGTCAGTCTCTCCTGGCTCAGAGTGGAAGCGAGATTGACTTTATCACTGCTTGTTTTTGTGAGAGGTGTCGACGAGCTGAATGTACCAAGCTGTCTGTTTGGAATACTGGCACACAGCTCGGACACCCATGCATACCCCACAAGACATGCCACCAGAGGTCTCTTCACAGTCCCCAAGTCCAGAACGGACTATGGGAGGTGCACAGTACTACATAGAGCCATGACTACATGGAACTCTATTCCACATCAGGTAACTGATGCAAGCAGTAGAATCAGATTTAAAAAACAGGTAAAAATACACCTTGTGGAACAGCAGGGACTGTGAAGAGACACACACACAGGTACATACACACATACATATAGACACTCACTCTACACACACGTACACATGAATGTTGTATTGTAAATATGTGATAGTGGAGTAGTGGCCTGAGGGAACACACTCAATTTGGGTAAAGTGTTATGAAATATAATGTCATGTAATATTTTTAATTGTATATAACTGCCTTAATGTTGCAGGACCCCAGGAAGAGTAGCTGCTGCCTTGGCAGGAACTAATGGGGATCCTTAATAAATACAAATACAAATGAGCAAAATGCAATGCCCTTGATCCATCCGTTTAAATAATCATTAAAAATAATAAATAAATAAACTGCTTCATACACTTGAATAATTATGTTAGACAGTCAGAGACTGAAACCAATTATATTATGTACTGCCAGTCAAACCATCCAGACAGGCTACAGTAAGCTGGAGTGGCACATTTTCTCTTTGTCACACTGTCTGTGCAGGTTGAAGGAGTGTCTGAAGAAAGTCAATGACACCTCCTCCAGGGTCGTTGGCCAGGCTTTCTTCAATGTCATCGAGGTGCCCTGTTTCCAGTTCATATATGAAGAGCAATGTGTGGAGCGCCACTGGTATGGAGCGTAAGTACAGTATTTACTGTAGGTTCCAATAATGCGCATACAAATCAAATCAAAGTTTATTGGTCAGATACACAGATTTGCCGGTGTTATGGCAGGTGAAGCGAAATGCTTATGTTACTAGCGCCAACAGTGAACTAGAATGTCTTGCAAATACAATACAAATAATCAAAAAAATCAAACAAGAAATAACAATCCAAGCATTTTTAAGTGGCTTTGTAGTACACTACAGGGAGCACATCTTAAACTCTCCATCTCTCTTATCCACCAGGTGTAAAAAGTATGACAAGCTCCTGGTTGCAGTGCCTAGAGAGTCCATCCCGTATGATTTTGGAGGCATTGAGGTTATTGACGTGCTGACCGTGGCTCCTCTGGTACAGAAAGAGACAAAGAAAACAGGCACAGAGCAGGACAATCCTGAAGGCACAACACAGTCCACTGTGTCCGGCTCCCAGACCACTGGCCCCGAGGAGCCCTCCCTCGGGAACATTGTCACCACCGCTGAGGACTTCATCAAATTTCTGGCCACTGTCTCCACCTCTCAGGGTTCGACTACAGACACCACCAAAGGAGAGACACAGACCTCAGAGAAGAAGAAGAGGAAGAACACTGCAGGGAAAAAGAAGAACAAAAACAAGAAGAGGAAAGGGAAAGGAAAAGGGAGAAAGAGGAAGCAGAACATCGACTCAGTCTCAAAAGGAGCAGAGGAAGGGACTAGAGTTAGTTCTACCAAAGCAGAGGAAGTTGTCGATAAGAGTAACTTTGTGAATGAGCCTGAGAATGTTGACCAGTTGAACAGAAATGTAAACTGTTTCAGTGATGGTGAAATAGATCGTGGAGGGAAAGAGGAGCTTTCTAATGATGTCATGAGAGATGAACCACGTGTAGATGAAGAAATTGCTGCAGATGCCTCTGTCACCTCAGTCACTGCTGTCAAGAAGGAGCAGACAATGCTGGAAACCCCGGCTTTGACGGATCACACATCTCTCGCTGTAACCACCGGCACATCCACTGTGACCACACAGAAAACCAAAAGGCAGAGGTCAAGAAAGGGGGAAGGGATGAAAAAACAGAGCAACATAACACCAACTGTCACCCCTAAAGGAGTTGCACGCCATACCGCCATTAAACAGGACCTCCCAACATCCACAACAGAGAGCTCTGGCACCCCGACCATCCCTACCAGCACTGCCATAATCTCTGCAGCGCAGCCTGTGCAACAAAGGTTAGAGAGCCACAGTGAAAAGGGACCTGTTACGGCTACTGCCGGCACCCCCATTGTGATTTTTATCAAAAGCAAAAGGCACAGGTCAAAGGAGAGTGAGAATAGAAATAAAAGGAGGAAAATCACTTCCACTCTTCCCATGGTGGGGGTTACTTTCAGAACCCCCACTGAAGAGGATCTTGGAGTGATCACTACTGAGAGCACAAGTGCTCCAGCCGTCACCACCATCACTACTGTTAGCACTGCAGGGCAGCCAGTGTCACACAGACCAGAAAGTCACAATGAGAAGGGGTCCAAGACCACTACAACTATAACCTCGACTTTGAGTGAGACCAAAAGGCACAGGCCGAAAGAGAGAGAGGGAAGAAAGATGAGGAGAAAAATCATACCAAGTCTTTTGGCTGAGGGCACATATCTGCAGAATAACACTGAAGATGCCCTTCATACAGTCACTACTGACAGCACTGGTGTACTGAACATCCCCACAACCACCACTGTAGTCACTGCAGAGCAGGCTGAGACGCTAGCACCACAGAGCATAGAGAGTCACAGTGAAAAGGGACATCTCACCACAACAGCCAGTGACCTCGTTGTGACTGGGAGAAGACAAGGATCAAAAGAGAGGGAGGGTAGAAAGAAAAGTAAAAAAGTGACCATAACCACTGTTGTCAAGGATGAGGTTCCTATCCATGATGACAATGAAACCAAACTTGAAGAAATAATGACAAGTACAAGTCTGACACCCTCAGCGTCAGCAATCTCATCCAAAGTTGAAGAAGTAGGAGAGTTCAATCTACAGGAATCTGAGAACTACAGAGAACAGACCCTCTTCCCTGTGCAGACCAGCACACCCACTGTAAATCCAATAAAATCCACTATCCAGAAAACGGAAGCGAGACTAGGTAGAAAGAAAAGGAGAAAAACACCACAATGAGACTCATACTAACAATGTTGCTAGTATAGAATGAAAGAGTGCAATGATGTCCTAGATGACTAGCCTAGCTCTTGACTGTCAAAAAAACCTGCTATGCAGACTCAAACGTATGTATATTATGTGTTCGTCATCTTGTGTGTTTTGTCAAATCAACATTCGTGCACTATTCAACAGGAATCGTAACAACTGAATGAAGGATCAGGATAATTTATTGTAATATTGTATGTGCATTTAAACACCAATGATTAATAAAATATTTGAAAGAAGCATATGTGCAATGAATTATAAAAGTGATGATTTCATTAATAACACATACATTTTTGTGCATGTAGGCATATACTGTACTGTACTCCCAAGACAGCAGGGAATATTTAATACGGAAGAAATTAATGAATTCCAAGTTCAGGGAGTTCGCCATTTCATCTGCTTACCCATAAACTGCTTACTTTTCTGAAAACAATGCTTGCCATATTGTATACACAGACTGGCTCCAAGCCAAGAAAGCTAAGCCTTGTTCCAGGTTTAAATACTATTTCCTTTGAAATACTATTTCCTTTGACCTGTGGGGGACTTTGGACCTCTAGTCCCTTCCAATGCGATATAAGGAATTGTGATGAAAGGGGTCACATTCTTAAAAAAGGATTATGTGCTCACTGTGAACTATATTCTCCCCACCTAAATGAGGGTTGTAAGACCCTGTAACACAGAGGCTCAAATCCCTCAGCTGATTCTCACATGCTACTCTGAGGAGTTTCACAGAATGAGATTGACATACTATACTGTAGCTTACTGTACAGAGCACAGATATAGATGTATAGAATAACTTATGTAATTATGTCCAGCAGTTCATGGAAGGTGCACATTATTTTTTTGTATTTCCCACTTAAAGGATATGAACATAAACAGCTCGAGGCCTCCAAACATGCAATTCCTGTTTCTGTCTTTTGTTTCTTGTCTGTTGTTTCTTGATTTAATTGAGCTAATTTACAATAAAATGCCAGGATATGTTACAGACTGAAAACACCAGCTAGGGTAATAGTAAAACAGTTGGACACTTCAGTAAGCAGTGACTGGTATTCAAAGCTTAATAACAAAGACAACTTTCATGCTACTGACCGTGTTCCAGACTGGGTCAGTATGTTTAAGCAATACTGGCAACGTAGTGGGCTAGTTGGATCTGAGACAAGGTATAATCGCTTCTCACCTCATACCACATAATATTAAATAATCTGCATTGTCTGTTTTTTCAATGGTCTTTTGAATGGAATCATACTGTATTTTGTATGGTCTGAGTACTTGTGAGGAACAATTGTTCTCAGTTGGCAAAGAAACAAGAGATTCTTCTGTATTTTTTAATTTCTATGAAGGAAAGGCATTCAACAATGCTAACATGCAGCTTTAATTAGTACTGCAGGCTGGCACTGATAGATCTCTTCTATTTGTTATGTACTCATTTTGTACTCCTGAGTGGCGCAGTGGTCTAAGGCACTGCATCGCAGTGCTAACTGTGCCACTAGAGATCCTGGTTCGAATCCAGGCTCTGTCACAGCCGGCCGCAACCGGGAGACTCATGGGCGGCGCACAATTGGCCCAGCGTTGTCCAGGGTAGGGGAGGGAATGGCCGGCAGGGATGTAGCTCAGTTGATAGAGCATGGCGTTTGCAACGCTAGGGTTGTGGGTTTGATTCCCACGGGGAGCCAGTATAAAAAATAAAAAAATATTCACTAACTGTAAGTCGCTCTGGATAAGAGCGTCTGCTAAATGACTAAAAATGTAAATGAGAACATGATGAATACTGAAAATGACTGACACTGTTCTTACATGAGTTTAATTGAACTACAGGAAGTGTATTTGATGGGTTTTAAATAAATTCAAATGGATGAAATACACTGATAGAGGATAACATTTAAGTGTACTGTATATTACGGGACAGTAGCTGTAATGTGAATATGCTGATGTAGCACAGTAAGCACAGACAACATGTTTCAGTCGGGAATGCATTTAAAAATACTAAAAACATTGTGCTTGATGTCCTATACTTATTTTGTTCAGCACTTCTAAGTAATACTGTCAATGTTCTTCATTGTGTTACACACAGACTAGACATAAAGCCTGTATAGCTACTGTAGGCTAAAGCCTATACCCAGTCAGCTGTCAGGCATTACACTAAGCAGCAACTGGATATGAATCCAGAAACTAACAAGATAGCTATTAAAATGGCCTAAGACCCATGTGACAAAGATTAAATGGTATAGATATAATATACATGGTTCTAGAAATAGCCTTTTCGAACCCCTACTGAGAGATGGTTAATATTCAAATAGCATATGTTACAGTAACCTCGGGAGTGATTCAGAAATAAATAGTTTTCATTGTTTTTTGTTGCATCACATGCATTTGAAGTTAATATGCTTAAAACCTGGTTTAAACAAGGCATGCAGTTTTCATTGTTTCCAGTACATTCCACAAAAATTGCAAGTGAGGAACAGTGCTACCAAAGAAGTGATAGTCAACGTTTCCAACCATTTTCTTTAGGTTCATTTGAAACAAACCACTGTTATCAAATCCATTTTCCACATGCAATTCACAAATCCATGTTGGTCACCATCATCTTATCCTTCAATGTGACCAACTGAAGTGGTGAAGTGTATGCAGTATTATATAATGAGTCCAGTTCATTTACAGTACACTAGGGGTGAGTAACAGTGGGCTCGGGAGAAAGAGAGTCTCCTCTGGACCTAGCGATCCATCTCATCCAGCAGCGGTGTGGCGTCTCCAGCGAGGGACATGGGCGTGCTCTCGATCATGGGGCTGGGAGAAGGTCGTGGGGTCATTCTGGACCTGGTCTTCTTGCGCTCTGCCTCTTTCTCCTGGAGCCACTGCTCTGCCATCTTGCCCCAGTCCACCGCTGTGTGGGAAGTTGCCCTGTGGGTTGGGAGCAGGGAGAGAAGATAACTCACTATTTACTTACTCACTCACTCGCAATATAGCAGTTGTATGCTTCTAGAACAATTAGAGGTAAGTTATCTGCGGTTGGAAACCTCCGTAAGAAATCCTCTATAAGTACCCAGCTACATACATGGACCATAGTCTCTCCATTTGAATTACCCAAATTGAAAGATTTTCTCTATTTGGATAATTCTGTCTAAGAGCTAGTTTTGAGAAGTGACTTACTTTGGTGTTGGTGTCCTGTGGTGGCAGGAAGAGGATGATGATGGTGTGGAGGAGGAAGGGCGGTGTCCATGTCCGTGTGATCCGTGTGAGGACTGGGGAGTGGTGCTGGGGTACTGGGGCGTGGTGATAGTCTGCTGCTGGCTGGGGGTGGGGGTGGTGTACGAATAGCTGGGCGTCAGAAGGGGAGTAGCAATGGGCTGCTGAGCTGGTGTGGTAAACACCTGGGACAGAAAAAATAAAGTTGAAGGGCTCATGTTGAACAGAAATATGAAAAACTGATAGAGATGAAACTCAAAAGTTTTTGTGATAATATTCAGATATACAGTAAGCATCTGTGTATTCCAAACGTACGTGATAGGGGCCGCTGCTGCCCCCTCCGCCGCTGCTGCTACCAGTGTAGCCGTACTGGCTGGATGCCCACCCGGCAGGTGTGGTGTTGGGGTTCTGGCCCTGGCCTGTTACCGCGGCAATGGCACTGAACATCTGAGAGGTCATGTTCTGAGGGAGGGCGTTCACTGCACGAGTCAGATCTGAGTGACAGAGACACAGGGCATACACAACACATACAACTTCATTCATTAGGAGAAGATTAAACAGAGAAACTGCTTCTTAAAAGTCCTTAACATGTTGATGATTCCAACCTTAGGATGCATGAAATGATAAAAACCAATTGAGGTAACATACAGTATATTATAGCCATATAGATCTTGGGGAGTAAGTATACACAGTAACTGACCTAGGGCCTGGACGATACCAGTATCACGATACTCATTAGTATCGTGGCAAGGAAACAAAACACGAAGCGGATTAAATTTATTTAGGAAAACAGCCCTGATGTTGGAACCAAACATCATTATGTTGTCATCCAGAGTCACATCTATTTATTTTCCAAGCTATAGCACACAATATTATACATACAGAAGGTTTCTAAAGGACCAAAGAGAGAAGTCTGCTTCGTGTTTTCATTTTTGCCATGGAAAAAATATGGCGATACTAGTATAGTCCCGGCCCTAAACTGACCTGCAATGTTAATATTGGCTGGAGTGGCATTGATAGAGGCTGGGGTACGTGTTCTACTGCTGCTGCTGGGAGTAATCCCTGTAGGAGAAATACCAAATATCAGATAACAGAAGTGAATCTGTCATTAGAGCATGATTACCCTGGTCTGTATGTTTCATTGTGAGGCATTTCTAAGGCAGCATTCTGTAAATGCTCTGACCTGCCACTGGCTCCTGGAAATGGTCTTTGAACCAGCGGAAAAGTCCATTGACTGTGGGAAAAACCTGGCCTCTGTATCTGAACCCCTCAGGCGTGACAGTCACAAACTCAACCCTGCATGCCAGAGAAAAGTCATGACGTTCTGATTATGACATTCTAACAATGACATTACAGTGAATTCGGAAAGCATTATTCTAAAATTGATTAAATTGTTTTTTTCCCCCTCATCAATCTACACACAATACCCCATAATGACAAAACAAATGCAGCTTTTTAGAAATTGTTGCAAAAAACAATAAAACTAAAACTGAAATATCACATTTACATAAGTATTCAAATCAAATCAAATGTTATTTCTCACATGCACCGAATACAACAGGTAGACCTTATAGTGAAATGCTTACTTACAAGCCCTTAACCAACAATGCAGTTTTATTCAGACCCTTTACTCAGTACTTTGTTGAAGCACCTTTGGCAGCGATTACAGCCTCGAGTCTTCTTGGGTATGACGTTACAAGCTTGGCACACTTGTATTTGGTGAGTTTCTCCCATTCTTCTCTGCAGATCCTCTCAAGCTCTGTCAGGTTGGATGGGGAGCGTCGCTATTTTCAGGTCTCTCCAGAGATGTTAGATCGGGTTCAAGTCCGAGCTCTGGCTGGGCCACTCAAGGACATTCAGAGACTTCTCCCGAAGCCACTCCTGCATTGTCTTGGCTCTGTGCTTAGGGTTGTTGTCCTGTTGGAAGGTGAACCTTCGCCCCAGTCGGAGGTCCTGAGCGCTCTGGAGCAGGTTTTTATCAAGGATCTCTCTGTACTTTGCTCCGTTCATCCTTCCCTCGATCCTGACTAGTCTCCCAGTCCCTGCCACTGAAAAACATTCCCACAGCATGATGCTGCCACCACCATGCTTCACCGTAGGGATGGTGCCAGGTTTCCTCCAGACATTACGCTTGGCATTCAGGCCAAAGAGTTCAATCTTGGTTTCATCAGACCAGAGAATCTTGTTTCTCATAGTCTGAGAATCCTTTAGGTGTCTTTTGGCAAACTCCAAGCGGGCTGTCATGTGCCTTTTCCTGAGTGGCTACCATTTGACCACTCTACCATAAAGGCCTGATTGGTGGAGTGCTGCAGAGATGGTTGTCCTTCTGGAAGGTTCTCCCATCTCCACAGAGGACCTCTGGAGCTCTGTCAGAGTGACCATCGGGTTCTTGGTCACCTCCCTGACTATGGCCATTCTCCCCCGATTGCTCAGTTTGGCCGGGCGGCCAGCTCTAGGAAGAGTCTTGGTGGTTCCAAAATTCTTCCATTTAAGAATGATGGAGGCCACTGTGTTCTTGGGGACCTTCAATGCTGCAGAAATGTTTTGGTACACTTCCCCAGGTCTGTGCATCAACACAATCCTATCTCGGAGCTCTACGGACAATTCCTTCTAACTCATGGCTTGGTTTTTGCTCTGACATGTACTGTCAACTGTGGGACCTTATATAAACAGGTGTGTGCTTTTCCAAATCATGTCCAATCAATTGAATTTACCACAAGTGGACTATAGCAAAGTGTCTGAATACTTACGTAAATAAGGTATTTCTGTTTTCGCTTTGTCATTATGGGGTATTGTGTGTAGATTGACAGGAGTAAAAATAATGTAATCAGTTTTAGAATAAGGCTGTAACGTAACAAAATGTGGAAAAAGGGAAGGGGTCTGAATACTTTCCGAATGCACTGTACATGAGTGCATACATTTTTTTTACATTTACATTTTAGTCATTTAGCAGACGCTCTTATCCAGAGCGACTTACAGTTAAGTGAGTGCATACATTTTCATACTGGCCCCCCGTGGGAATCGAACCCACAACCCTGGCGTTGCAAACGCCATGCTCTACCAACTAATTGTGCGCCGCCCCATGGGTCTCCCGGTCGCGGCCGGCTACGACAGAGTCTGGATTCGAACCAGGATCTCTAGTGGCACAGCTAGCACTGCGATGCAGTGCCTTACACCACTGCGCCACTCGGGAGACTATGAAATTACATTACATTATCACAGTACTGTATTTATGAAGGTTCACTGAACAGTGATGATTACTGTGGATACATGTGACAAACCCTGCGGAGCTAGTGAGAGAGTGGTAAGTAAGGGTTAATGTTTATGTTCATGTCCTTTCAAGTCTCTAAACAAGCACCAATGATCACTCTTGCTCTTAGCAGGCAACAGAGGCAGAGACAAACAGGCACTTCATGCTTCCCCTACTGTCCTGACACACATTCTGTGTTTGGGTTTGGGTGAGGCAGTACCATTTCCAACACAAGAGCTTTTCTCTTTAGGGTGTGAATTGCACACGGGAAAAAATGACACTATGCAAATCCATGCATCCTATAAATGGGTGTTGATTTGAATGACAAAGGCAGCAGCTAGTGTGGTTGGCAGTCCTGAGGTAACCTTGGCTTTCCGCGGGGCTGGTAACCGAGCAGAAACTTCCCTGGCAGCTCTCTACAGGCAGACACATAGTAGGGGATGAATGTAGGCTTCTCCTTCTTGCTTTTCACCAAGACCTCCTCCATTTTCTGCAATTCAGAAAACAGGTCTCAAACACACACAAACTGGCAGATAGACTGATACACACATAAAAACATATTCATACACAATGATACTGTGAATTGAAAGAAAGTATATCCTTGTTCCAACCTTTCGGTCTCCACCACTGCATTCTTGAAAATACTTGTGACCAAGCAGATCGCAAGCAAATGCAGCCATTGGTTGAACGTATCTGGCTGTGATTTCATCCAGATCTTCAAATTCCTGGGAAATAGGTCACACAACCTACTAAAACAGTGAAACACATTGGTTTTGTGCCAAATGGCGCACTATTCCCTACATAGTGCACTACTTTTGTGGATTATATAGGGAAAGGGTGCCATTTTGGATGCACATATTTTTATTCATACAGGCATATACTGCTTCATAATGAAGAAGCCTGTGAATGGAGCTGACCTCAGTGTTGATCCACAGGGTATGTCCCAGGCTGAAGGCGTTCTCCTTGCCCTCCTCTCGTACATCAATGTGCTGGTAGATGCAATCAGCAACCTTCCAAGTAACAGTCAGGTGGTTCTCTCCCTTACTGCTGGGCCTGATGATCACATCTCCCTGGTCCATGGACTCCATCATCTTCTCTGCCTGCTTGAAGTTGATGTTATGGAACGATGGGTGGGCTATCACCCTCTTGATGTAGGCTATAGGGAGTCGAAAGCTGTATTTTAGCGTTCAGTATTATATTATTAGGGCTGGTTTCCCAGACACACATGTAGCCTAGTCCTGGACTAAAAAACACTTTAAATGGAGAATCTCAAATGAACATGCTACTTATTCCAGGACTAGGCTTAAACGGTGTCCCGGAAACCGGACCAAAAACAACTCTTACTACCATTACCAAAATCAACCAATAATAAAGATGAATCCAAAATGTAACTTTACAAATTTATTAATTCCAGATATGTTCTCCATCTAGAGATGTACAGTAAGCTCTCAGACAGGTACACACTTGTTCTCTGCTGTTTCTTCTTGGCCTCCTCCTCCTGCTTCACATCCTCTGTCTCAGTGTCAAAGTCGTAGTAGGTGTCCTTGGGAAGCTTCCAGTCATTGTTCTTATCTGACAGGTCTGACGTCCGACAGGTCAGATCCACACTGAGCTTCTCAATGTCAATCTTCATGATCCTGCAGTGCACTGTCATGCCCACCTACAGCAGGTTAAAGTTAAAGTGTTATATGACTTTGGTAATAGACTGTTAGTTATACTGAAATCGAGATATCTTTTTTGGGAAACTACCGTGATACCTTAACCCTTTCTTCAGGGTGCTTGACCACTTTGTCACTGAGGAACTTGGTGGGGATAAAGCCGGTGACTCCGTTGTCCATGCGACAGCGGACCCCAATAGCTTGGCCAGGGCAGGAGCCACTGTCAAAATGATTCCACACCTGCCAGAGAGAACAGAGGCTATGTCAAACTTTGTTGATCAAAAAGACAGCTGTGGCCAATATAATTATAGCAACAAATAATAAGCTAGGAACTTAAAACCCATAGCCCACCACTCTTCAGATTGGCTTTCAGTATAGATTGCAGCAGAATATGGAGTATATCAGATTCTCACCTCGCTGAGCTCAGGGAAGTTGTCCTGTTGACAGAAAGGACACTGCCACAGACCTGTCTCATCATTCCTTATGGCCTGGTCATAACTCTCCCCCTGGGGGCGCCGGTGAGCAATGCTTGTCACCACACTGGTGATAAGTTTACCTAGAGAGGCAGGACAGGACAAAGACAAACAGTGTTGAGATACCAATAAGGGATATATACATGTTTTCTACTATGTCAACTTTGGGGCTGTGACTCCCTGCACCCAAAAAAAAAAAAGCATGGTAGTGTTAACCCATCACTTTGAAAGAGATATCAATAAGGCTCTGGTTGAGAAGGAACAGTACGTACCGATGTAGAAGGTCTCTGGTGTCTCCTTGGTGAGCAGGTTGAAGATCTCCTCTGTGTTAGGTCCTCTGTAGGTGGACCTCAGGTCTTTGTACCGGCAGCTCAGCTCAGCACGGATGTCATACAGGGTGATGCCCTTGTTACCATAACCCTGTGGACACAAAGAGTCTCAAAGAGTGAGCACTACAATGTCATCAGATCAGGAGGAGTATGCAAGCTCTTCATACCCACCCAGAGTAGGACAACAGATGTGTTCCAAATGGCACCTTATTCCCTATATAGTGCACTACTTCTGGGACGCAGCCTACATCTCCCACACTGACCTGTCTTTCCAGCTCCTCAGCGAAGGCATCCAAGTCCAGGTCTTTGAGCCGCTCCGGGTTTTCCAGGATCTCCTCCAGTGCCCCGGCCGGGTTGGCGTCCTCCGCTGACTCATCGTACTCCAGAGCGTCCACGGCCATCTTCCTGGCCCACTCGTAGGTCTCTGGGTGCACCCGCGACCCATCCAGAACCTCAATATAGGAGTCAGTACTGCAGGTAGGGAGAGACACTTAATGTCAATGATTAAGTTATTTAGTGAATTGGCTGTGTGATGTCAATAAAATTAGTTTTGTCAAGCTATTCACTGTTACTATTATGAGTTGAATTTCTATTAACAATATGGTGTTTAGTCTCAGGTATTTTCTGCAGTATTGTAAGAATGACCATGCCCAATGTTCTGAGACTGACCTATCTCCCAGAGAAGCTGTGTCAATCTTGATGAAACCAGCACAGTTGATGAAGACCTTGGGGCCCATGTGACACATGGTGACCAGCTGAGTGCGGTTCTCCAGACGAGTATTATTTTGCTTCAGGATCTGGAAACAGATGGATAAATGTACATGTAAAGATATCTGTTAGAGGTCAGTACAGTAGAGCAGTGGTTCCCAAACTATAGGGTGCGCAGGTTCAGGCTTTCAACTTACTCTTGAAAGTTGTAATAGTAAAATGCACAAGGTGCAATTTCGAAATTGGGTAGTGCATCAGCAGTTTTTCTCATCATGTCTGTCATTGCATACCTTAGAGAGCTATTTATAATGTCCATTTGATCAACTAGGCCATGTCAGCTAACATTTTTTAGCTAGGTTTGTTTGCTCATAGACTTTGTCGTAATGTTTGAGTCACTCAGAAATCACATGAATACACATTAGACATGGCAAAATGTATAGAATTGAAAGAAAATGAGCTTTAAACATGCACAATGTTCTCTCCGCCAACAAGAGGGGTGTGAATAGTTTGTGTCGTAGAAATAGACGCGGGGGGGGGGGGGGCTGAGTGAAGTTTGGGAACCCCTGCAGTAGAGTACTGAATTATTCTAAGATACTGTCATAATAAAAACATATAGGTAAATATTGCTACTGTATTTTGATCAATTCTATCTGGTAACACTTGGTATACAGTTGAAGTCGGAAGTTTACATACACCTTAGCCAAATACATTTAAACTCAGTTTTTCACAATTCCTGACATTTAATCCTAGTAATAATTCCCTGTCTTAGGTCAGTTAGGATCACCACTTTATTTTAAGAATGTGAAATGTCAGAAAAATAGTAGAGAGAATGATTTACTTCAGCTTTTATTTCTTTCATCACATTCCCAGTGGGTCAGAAGTTTACATACACTCAATTAGGATTTGGTAGCATTGCCTATAAATTGTTTAACTTGGGTCAAACGTTTCGAGTAGCCTTCCACAAGCTTCCCACAATAAATTAGGTGAATTTTGGCCCATTCCTCCTGACAGAGCTGGTGTAACTGAGTCAGGTTTGTAGGCCTCCTTGCTCGCACACACCTTTTCAGTTCTGCCCACATATTTTCTATAGGATTGAGGTCAGGGCTTTGTGATGGCCACTCCAATACCTTGACTTTGTTGTCCTTAAGCCATTTTGCCACAACTTTGGAAGTATGCTTGGGGTCATTGTCCATTTGGAAGACCCATTTGCGACCAAGCTTTAACTTCCTGACTGATGTCTTGAGATGTTGCTTCAATATATTCACATCATTTTCCTTCCTCATGATGCCATCTATTTTGTGAAGTGCACCAGTCCCTCCTGCAGCAAAGCACCCCCACAGCATGATGCTGCCACCCCCGTGCTTCACGGTTGGGATGGTGTTCTTCGGCTAGCAAGCGACCCCCTTTTTCCTCCAAACATAACGATGGTCATTATGGCCAAACAGTTCTATTTTTGTTTCATCAGACCAGAGGACATTTCTCCAAAAAGTACAATATTTGTCCCCATGTGCAGTTGCAAACCATAGTCTGGCTTTTTTATGGCAGTTTTGGAGCAGTGGCTTCTTCCTTGCTGAGCGGCCTTTCAGGTTATGTCGATATAGGACTCGTTTTACTGTGGATATAGATCGTTTGGTACCTGTTTCCTCCAGCATCTTCACAAGGTCCTTTGCTGTTGTTCTGGGATTGATTTGCACTTTTCGCACACCAAAGTACGTTCATCTCTAGGAGACAGAACGCGTCTCCTTCCTGAGCGGTATGACGGCTGCGTGGTCCCATGGTGTTTATACTTGCATACTATTGTTTGTACAGATAAACGTGGTACCTTCAGGCGTTTGGAAACAGCTCCCAAGAATGAACCAGACTTGTGGAGGTCTACAAAAAAAATTCTGAGCTCTTGGCTGATTTCTTTTGATTTTCCCATGATGTCAAGCAAAGAGGCACTGAGTTTGAAGGTAGGCCTTGAAATACATCTACAGGTACACCTCCAATTGACTCAAATGATGTCAATTAGCCTATCAGAAGTTTCTAAAGCCATGACATCATTTTCTGGAATTTTCCAAGCTGTTTAAAGGCACAGTCAACTTAGTGTATGTAAACTTCTGACCCACTGGAATTGCGATACAGTGAATTATAAGTGAAATAATCCGTCTGTATACAATTGTTGGAAAAATTACTTGTGTCATGCACAAAGTAGATGTCCTTACCGACTTGCCAAAACGATAGTTTGTTAACAAGACATTTGTGGAGTGGTTGAAAAACAAGTTTTAATGACTCCAACTTAAGTGTATGTAAACTTCCGACTTCAACTGTTGCTCTTATATCTGTGTAGTAACACTGTAATTACATTGTATTAACATGTTGGCAATCTAGATGCCTCAAGTGATCTATGTCTTACCCTGAGCAGGTGGGATCCCTTCCTGGGCCCCAAGCCACAGACGTACTGCAACAGGCTCTGGGTGTAGGGGTGGGCCATGGCCCGGTTCACATCCACACCCACTTCATTCACCCGGTTGATGAACTCACAGTACAAAGCATTCAGCAGGTCCTCCTTCAATACATGCTCCTGTGTGGGAGGCAGACAGAGAAGTCAGACTCACTCTTTACAGACACATTGATTCACAGACTTTGATTCAAACCAGACTATGATTATCATGTACAGTCAACTAGACTTGCTTCTGCATTTGGCCGATTCCACGCCAGCATGGTCCGAAAATATTCATGTAATCACCGATTTTTCTGGCAATTCTCACATAAAAACTTAATTTGGGTGGAAAGATTTTTAACATGCTTTAAAAATTTGTATCCCCCAAAAAAGTTTATAACCATTTTAGTCCCTTTTAAGACCTATACCTGCCTCCTGTAAGACCCTATGATCAGTGAACCATACATTTTACAGACAAAATCTTGGTGTTTGGAACAATATACTCGTCAAACACAAACAATTTCAAGAGTGGGATCTCTGCTACTTTTGAAGAAATTATCAGTTTTATATGTTGCCATTCTAGGTCATTAACCAATCACAGCCCTCCTGTAGGATTGCACATTCAGCAAATCACCAGAAGAGGGCGTTCCCTTTGAATCCATTTTCCCATTCACTGTGTCGGGGGTGCTCATAAAATGTATCATAACTTTAACTCACTCTGGAAATGTGATGTACTTGTAGAGTATATTGTTTAAAACAATCGGTCTAAACATGAACAAAATCAAAAAGGATACTTTTGAGACATTCATATTAATAGTTATAATGTTTAATAAATTCACATGTAAAATTGTATTTCAGAATGTAGCGATACTCCATATTTTAGAGAACAATGTTAAGAGTATAATGACAGGTGTTGTCTGTATCATGTACGGTTCACTGATCATTGGGTCTTACAGGGGGCATGTATAGGTCTGAAAAGGGCCTAAAATGGCCACTTTCATGATTTTAGTAGGGGTTTCTAAAGGATCTCTGTAAACCACCTGTGTGTTTTCATCAAAGCCACCGCTAGGTGATGATGATCTCCCAACCACGCCTGGCCTAATGGAGACAGGGGTTGCGTCCTGAATGGCACCCTATTCACTATATAGTGCGCTACCTTTGATCAGAGCCCTATTTGGAACTCAGTCTGGATGATGTCATCAGTACCTGCAAAGGGTGCAACTTGAGGCAGAGGATGTCCTCGTCACTGCTGCACACCTGAGCGTACTCCACCAGGGGGTCCTGGATCTTCCTGGCCACAGACACAGCCTGTCTCAGGAGAGGGGGGTAGTCCCGGAAATCTGCCTGTGGATTGGAGAAATAGAAAAATATGCAGAGTTAAAAGTTAAGAGAAAATCAATTGGCAATACATATTACAGATTTAAAAACCACATTGTGGACCACACAGATACTTTTGGGAGCTACAGTATGTAGAATACCTCCAATGTAGATACAATTGAGATTAAGAAATGTTTGTCTTGTGAGAATAAAGAAAACATGTTTAAGGAAATGAGGTCAGGACTTGACCTCTGACTTCTTGCTGTTCATGTAGAGCATGGCCAGTTCATTGTCAACCAGCTCCACCCCGATGGTGGGGAAGGAGGACTCCTGCTCCAGCTCACTGGCAGTGCGTTTAATGTCCTCAATCACCATCTGGGCGTCCCTGCACAGGGAGTGGAGGGGGAACATTACAAACATTCAGGAAGTAGTGCACTATATAGGGAATAGGATGCCGTTTGGGATGCATCCTCAGTCATGTTAGTAACCTTCTTCAAACAGCAGTCTAAGAAGGCCACAGGTGAAAGAAAGCAGGAGAGGGTTTCACACCTGTTCTCCCCAGCTATAGCGATGATGTGAGGCTTCTTGCCATTCAGAAACGTCTTCAGGGTTTCAATATCGTGGATCTAAAAGGTATGGTAGGACAAATATTAGAACATGGTCAACATTGGATGGTTGCCTTGTGTCCCAAATGGACCCTATTCCCTACATAGTGCACTACTTTTTACCAGAGCCCTATGGTACGAACAAAAAAAGTATGAAAATGTATGCACTCACTACTGTAAGTTGCTCTGGATAACAGCGTCTGCTAAATGACTAAAATGTAAATGTAAATAGGGTGCTATTTAGGACTCACCCTTGGTTTGGTTTCATAAATACCTTTTTTTCCCTTTCATCCTCCCTCCATGCGTTCCTCCTCTTCAGGAAGTAAGGAAGCCTGAGGAAATCCCCCACCTCTCCGTCACAGTTCACCAGGGCACAGAACACTGGGGTGTCTCTGCGGACAGACAGAGGTTTGCAGTGAATAATAACTAAGTCACAAAAACAGAAGTCCTATTAAATTACTAGAGGGGCCATGTCATAAACCCTCAAAGTTCCAGAATGGGGTGAAAATGGCAGCCATATTGGCCAGGGAGAAATCCAAACCAGTCTAATTGGAATGAATGGCAGTAGAGGCATAATCCTGACTTATGCAGTAAAATAAAAGTAAGGCATGTGATATATCAAAAATTGTGTAATAGAATTATTGTCAACCTAAAATATTGTGATATAATTATAAATACAGTTTCTCTGTATAAATAGCCTCTAAAATATATAAACAGACCATAATTGTAAAACATGTTTTCTTAGAAAGCTTTGAGTGATATTATATGATAGCCAGTGTATGGCTGTGGATTGACTACATAAATGTGGTAAAGAGGTCAACGTAACTCAACCAAAATAATGGAAATGCCATGGAAACGCGTAGGGTGAAAGATGCCGTAGGGGAAAGATCCCGAATCTCCTCATTGCCCCCCAGCAAAATTAGCCTACACGTGTCATCGTCACCAATCAACTGCATTACAGTTAAAAGGACTGACTACCACCACCGATTTCTCTATGCTAGCTATGCTACCAGCTTATACGAACGGGAGTTAGCATAGCAATCACTAAATTCTTCTAAACCTGAGAAGGAACTATTTCTAAATGTTATGCAGCCAAATACACTATATACAGGTAAAAGTCAGTAAATTAGAATATTTTGAAAAACTTGATTTATTTCAGTAATTGCATTCAAAAGGTGTAACTTGTACATTATATTTATTCATTGCACACAGACTGATGCATTCAAATGTTTATTTCATTTAATTTTGATGATTTGAAGTGGCAACAAATGAAAATCCAAAATTCCGTGTGTCACAAAATTAGAATATTACTTAAGGCTAATACAAAAAAGGGATTTTTTAGAAATGTTGGCCAACTGAAAAGTATGAAAATGAAAAATATGAGCATGTACAATACTCAATACTTGGTTGGAGCTCCTTTTGCCTCAATTACTGCATTAATGCGGCGTGGCATGGAGTCGATGAGTTTCTGGCACTGCTCAGGTGTTATGAGAGCCCAGGTTGCTCTGATAGTGGCCTTCAACTCTTCTGCGTTGTTGGGTCTGGCATTCTGCATCTTCCTTTTCACAATACCCCACAGATTTTCTATGGGGCTAAGGTCAGGGGAGTTGGCTGGCCAATTTAGAACAGAAATACCATGGTCCGTAAACCAGGCACGGGTAGATTTTGCGCTGTGTGCAGGCGCCAAGTCCTGTTGGAACCTGAAATCTCCATCTCCATAGAGCAGGTCAGCAGCAGGAAGCATGAAGTGCTCTAAAACTTGCTGGTAGACGGCTGCGTTGACCCTTGATCTCAGGAAACAGAGTGGACCGACACCAGCAGATGACATGGCACCCCAAACCATCACTGATGGTGGAAACTTTACACTAGACTTCAGGCAACGTGGATCCTGTGCCTCTCCTGTCTTCCTCCAGACTCTGGGACCTCGATTTCCAAAGGAAATGCAAAATTTGCTTTCGTCAGAAAACATGACTTTAGACCACTCAGCAGCAGTCCAGCTCTTTTTTTCCTTAGCCCAGGTGAGACGCTTTTCGCGCTGTTTCTTGGTCAACAGTGGCTTGACACGAGGTATGCGGCAGTTGAAACCCATGTCTTTCAAGCGTCTCTTGGTGGTGGATCTTGAAGCCCTGACTCCAGCAGCTGTCCACTCCTTGTGAATCTCCCCCACATTTTTGAATGGGTTTTTTTTTCACAATCTTGACTAGGGCGCGGTGATCCCTATCGCTTGTACACTTTTTCTGACCACAGTTTTTCCTTCCCTTTGCCTCTCTATTAATGTGTTTGGACACAGAGCTCTGAGAACAGCCAGCCTCTTCTGCAATAACCTTTTGTGTCTTTCCCTCCTTGTGCAATGTGTCGATGGTCGCCTTTTGGACAGCTGTCAAATCTGAAGTCTTCCCCATGTTTGTGTAGGCTTCAGAACTGGACTGAGAGACCATTTAAAGCCCTTTGCAGGTGTTTTGAGTTAATCAGCTGATTATTTTGTGGCACCAGGTGTCTTCAAAATGTAACCCTTACACAATATTCTAATTTTGTGACACACGGAATTTTGGATTTTCATTTGTTGCCACTTCAAATCATCAAAATTAAATGAAATAAACATTTGAATGCATCAGTCTGTGTGCAATGAATAAATATAATGTACAAGTTACACCTTTTGAATGCAATTACTGAAATAAATCAAGTTTTTCAAAATATTCTAATTTACTGACTTTTACCTGTATACAAAAGTATGTGGACACCCCTTCAAATTAGCGGATTCGGCAATTTCACCCACACTCGTTGCTGACAGGTGTATAAAGTCGAGCACACAGCCATGCAACCTCCATAGACAAACATTGGCTGTAGATTGCCCTTACTGAAGAGCTCAGTGACTTTCAACATGGAACCATCATAGGATGCCACCTTTCCAACAATGGCTCAGCCGCGAAGTGGTAGGCCACACAAGCTCATAGAACGGGACTGCTGAGTGCTGAAGCGCGTAAAAAACATCTGTCTTCGGTTGCAACACTCACTACCGAGTTCCAAACTGCCTCTGGAAGCAACGTCAGTACAAGAACTGTTCGTCAGGAGCTTCATGAAATGGGTTTTCAAGGCCGAGAAGCTGCACACAAGCCTACGATCACCATGCGCAATGCCAAGCGTCGGCTGGAGTGGTGTAAAACTTGCCGCCATTAGACTCTAGAGCAGTGGAAACGCATTCTCTGGAGTGATGAATCACGCTTTACCATCTGGCAGTCCAACGGACAAATCTGGGTTTGGCGAATGCCAGGAGAATGCTACCTGCCCCAATGCATAGTGCCAACTAAAGTTTGGTGGAGGAGGAATAATGGTCTGGGGCTGTTTTTCATGGTTCCGGCTAGGCCCCTTAATTTCAGTGAAGGGAAATCTTAACGCTACAGCATACAATGACATTCTAGACCAGGGGTGTCAAACTCATTTTAGCTCAGGGGCCACATGGAGGAAAATCTATTCCCAAGTGGGCCGGACCGGAAAAATCATGGTGTATATATAACTTAAAAACAACAACTTCAGATTGTTTTCTTTGTTTTAATACGATCAACATACAGCATAAAGCTGGAGCCTGAGGACAGTGTGTCCAAAATAGTACAAGCACAACATCACTATTAATTATAAAACACGTCAAGTTTATTTGAAAATTCTAAAGAAAAAGAACACACAAACACACAATGCCTCAGTGATTAACAGAACTGTTTCACAGATCACAGAACTATATCAGGGTGTCATTTCTCAGGCAGAAATGTAGATAAAAATAATGAAATCCTGTTCCCCAAACAAGTGCAAGAACCACAGAGTCAAGAATAGGTTAAATATACAAATAAAATAAAATCAATTAAAAACAATAGCACATCAACATAAAAACATATAAACATAAAGCTGGAGCCTGAGGACAGTGTCCAAAAGCACAACATCACTATTAATCATAAAACACCTCAAGTTATTTGAAAGTTCTGAGGACAAAGAACACACAAACACACAATGCCTCAGTGATTCACAGAAGTATATCACAGATCACAGAACTATATCAGGGTGTCATTTCTCAGGCAGAAATGTAGATAAAAATAATGAAATCCTGTTCCCCAAACAAGTGCAAGAACCACAGAGTCAAGAATAGGTTAAATATACAAATAGAAACAATTAAAAACAATAGCACATCAACATAAAAACATAAACATAAATCTGAAAGCGTTGCTCAAACTCCCGTAACAGTCCCGTTATTTTATCTTTGAACCGCTTCATCTCTGCCACATGTTGGGTCGCGCACACATTTTTCAGACAGGGGAAGTGAGCTGCATCACCACCGGCAAGTTGCGTCTCCCCCAATGACAGCTTCAACTTGAAAGAACGTATGCTGTCATAATACTGCGTGACAACTTTGTTGCGCCCTTGCAGCTGTTTGTTCAAGTTATTCAGGTGCTCTGTAACATCCACCATAAATGCAAGGTCCTGCATCCATTCTGCGGAATGAAATTCTAACACTGGTTTGCCCTTTTCTTCCATGAACTGTTCAATTTCTTCTCGTAAATCAAAGAAACGCCTCAGCACAGCACCTCGGCTTAACCATCTTACCTCAGTGTGGTATGGCAGGCCATAGATGTGGTCTTTCTCTCTGAGAAGGCTGTCAAACTGACGGTGATTCAGGCTTCTGGATCGGATGAAATTAACAGTTTGGATGACCACCTTCATGACGTTATCCATCTTTAATGACTTACAACACAAAGCCTCCTGGTGCAAAATACAGTGAAAAGTCAAAAAATCACATCCTTCATTTGCAGATTGCACTTTCTCTCTGAACTTTGTCACAACGCCTGCTTTTTTCCCGATCATTGAGGGCGCACCATCTGTAGCCAGGCTGACAGCGCGGGACCAGTCCACTCCGACCCTGTCCAGCGCGCCGACGAGTGCGGTAAAAATATCAGCTGCTGTCGTTGTATCTGTCATCGGCACCAACTCCACGAACTCCTCGGTGACGGTCAATGTGTCATCAACTCCGCGGATGAAAATGGCCAGTTGTGCAACATCTGTAATGTCCGTGCTTTCATCAATTGCAACCGAAAACGCAATAAATGACTTTACTTTTTGCTTCAACTGGCTGTCCAAATCCACTGAAAGATCGGAAATCCTGTCTGCAACTATGTTTCTTGTCAGGCTGATATTTGCAAAAGCCTGCCGCTTTTCAGGGCACACAATCTCCGCTGCCTTCATCATGCATGTTTTTACAAATTCACCCTCACTAAATGGTTTTGAAGCCACTGCGATTTCATTAGCAATGAGGTAGCTAGCTTTCACTGCAGCGTCACTGATGTCTCGGCTGTGAGTAAACACAGACTGCTGTTTCTTCAGACCCGCCAACAGTTCATTCACCTTCTCTCATCTCCGCTGTCCTTGAAAGTTGTCATATTTGTCGGCATGAAGACTCACATATTGGCGACGAAGGTTATATTCTTTCAGCACTGCAACATGCTCTGAACACACCAAACATACAGCTTTCCCATTCAATTCCGTGAATAAATAGGATGACCATTTTTCTTGGAACACTCTGCACTCTGCGTCCACTTTTCTCTTTTTTGACAGAGACATATTGGGGCAATGAGGGTGCCAAAGCACATAATGTTAAAAGTAGAAGCCGTAATAAATATCGCGGGCAAAACAAAGTAGCTCATTGGCTGCACGTGCTTGACCTACTTGCTCTGCCCCGGTATAAACAGTTTGCTTGCTTAACACAATTGCTATTGCGCCATCCAGTGGACGCAATTGGAACAGCAGTTTATTTTATAGAAAAATTGCAGCGCATTTTTATACTTTACCCAAAAAAAAAAAAAACTTCCAAAATCTTCCAAAAATCATCTCGCGGGCCTGATTAAACCCGTTTGCGGGCCTGATCCGGCCCGCGGGCCGTACGTTTGACACCCCTGTTCTAGACGATTCTGTGCTTCCAACTTTGTGGCAACAGTTTGGGGAAGGCCCTTTCCTGTTTCAGCATGACAATGCCCCTGTGCACAAAGCGAGGTCCATACAGAAATGGGTTGTCGAGATCGGTGTGGAAGAACTTGACTGGCCTTCACAGAGCCCTGACCTCAACCCCATCGAACACCTTTGGGATGAATTGGAACGCCGACTGCGAGCCAGGCCTAATCGCCCAACATCAGTGCCTGACCTCACTAATGCTCTTGTGACTGAATGGAAGCAAGTACCCGCAGCAATGTTCCAACATCTAGTGGAAAGCCTTCCCAGAAGAGTGGAGGCTGTTATAGCAGCAAAGGGAGGACCAACTCCATATTAATGCCCATGATTTTGGAATGAGATGTTCGACGAGCAGGTGTCCACATACTTTTGGTCATGTAGTGTATATCCAAATCGGACTTTAGTAACCACATTGTGGGCTGGATTTGACAAATATCTACATTGTTTGATCAGATTTGTTGAATGTGCGCCAATCCGGGGTCCTTCTATCCACCACGGTCTGCATTCCATTGACCTCTTTACCACATCTATTGACTGAATGCAATGTTGGTATATTGGCAGATCATTTGAAAAATGTATGGAATCATTCCTCTAAAACTTGCTGGCTAGCTTGCTAACAAACATACAGTGCAGATACATTCTTGAAATTCATTATTTTACACAATATTTTATCACAGCACTGGCAAACCATGGTTGACCAACTCCCTGACCAAAATGGCTGACCTTTATCCCATCATAAGAAGGTTCATGTCCATTCTAGTATTCTAATTCCTAATTCTATGGTCACAAACCATAAGTCATTCAATTTAGCTGACTGTAAAAGTGGTAAAGACAATGAACTGAAGGTAGTGTCAGTGTCCCAAATGACACCATATTCCCTATATGGTGCACTACTTTTGGCAAGAGATACACAGGGTCTAGTCAAAAGTAGTGCACTACATAGAGAATAGGATGCCATTTGGGACACACCCAAAGTGAAGTCAGAGACAGTGTGCAGTACTCTACCTGCTGGATGAGAAGGCCACTCCCAGCACGCGGATCCCTTTGCCCTGGGCCTCAGACATGAGCTCCTCGTCCTCCTCCACTTGTTGGTCGGGCCGATAGGGCGCCACCTTTAGCCAGTTATACAGCTTCCTGCTGCAGGCCTGAGGGGCGGGCAACCACTATCACAACACTGTAGCAGGCTCAACATATATCAATGCTCTGAGCCGCCTGCTTTGGAAAGTCAATACCAGAATAAGAAAATAAGTCATCAATACCACAGTAGCAACGACGTCACATCAATGTAAAGAAAATAAGAAGAAAAATCTAATGAAATGTTGAGGTAATGTCTTCACAATATATAATAATAGATGTTGCTGCAGAAGATGTATCCTCCTCCTTGGGTGTGTGTGTGGGGAGGTACCTTGATGACGTTCTCCTTTGCTTCTGCAATAAGCTTGTTCTTCAGCTCTTTTGCCATCTGCGGGTAAAGGAACTGTTTGAGGGAGCGTTCAATGGCCAGAGTGCGCTGTCTGTTCCACTCCTGAACCTGGTGGCTGAACTCGTCTCTGTAGTAAAACTGCTTTATCTCTTCATAGTACGCATGGTCACCTCCGTACCTGCTCAACAAACATAGTGATATAATGGATACTTGACTGACTCAGGACACTATACATGTAAACAGAGCACATTTTGGAATATATTTTTACATGTTATTAATATGTTATTACACAAAACTCAGAGGCTGCATCGCAAATGGCACCCTATTCCCTACATAATGCACTACACTATTTAGTGAATATGGTGCCATTTGGGATGCAAACTATGTTATTAATATGTTATTACACAATGTTATAATAACAAGCCCTCACCCCTTCACGCCAATCAGGTCAATACAGATGTTTATGGTGAGCAGGCCCTCTTCCTCTGCCTGCAACATCTTGAGGAACTGGTCTCCATTCAGCTCCTTTACAGGCTTGTTTTTCAGGTATTTAAAGGAGTAGCCATAATGGGCCTCATCCACATCCTATAGGAGAGATTAGACCACATACATGTATGGTAGAGTACTCCAAACTAGATAATGACATATTAATATATGCACTAACCGTAAGTCCCTCTGGATAAGAGTGTCTGCTAAATAACTCAAATGTAAAAATATGACTCAATGAAAAGAACATCACTTGTTTTTTCTATACAATATGTACAGTGCCTTCAGAAAGTATTCATACCCCTTGACTTATTCCACATGTTGTTGTGTTACTGCCTGAATTCTAAATGGATTACATTGATTTTGTTTATCTCACCCATCTACACACAATATCGCATAATGACAAAGTGAAAACATATTTTTTGAAATGTATTGAAAATGAAATACAGAAATATCTCATTCACATAAGAAGCACCTTTGGCGGCGATTACAGCTTTGAGTCGTCTTGGGTAGGTCTGTATCAGCTTTGCACATCTGGATTTGGGGATTTTCTCCCATTCTTCCTTGCATATTTTCTCAAGCTCTGTTAAGTTAGATGGGGAACGGCGGTGAACAGCAATCTTCAAGTCTTTCCACAGATTTTCAGTGGGATTCAAGTCTGGGCTTTGGCTGAGTGATAGATTAATTTGTATGGTTATTTTAATGACTAAAGTGTTCCACCCCGATAGTGTATAAAATGTGTAAACTGTGTTAGAGTTATAAGAAAATAGAACCACTAATAGGGAAGATGTTAGAAACTGCTGAAACATTCTATACTGTGGAAAGTTACAGGCCGCCAAAAGGTGGCCAGAGCAAAGTCCTTTGTGTGGACGCATATAAAAGGGTCTGTGTGTGTTTTTGGCGGGAGAGCGCTCTCATTGAATAAAGATGGCTGATCCCTTGCAGACTGGACAATTTGTTTAATTCATTCTTAACTAGAGTCTTACACCCTCTGGGGATTATTCAAAGTTTGAGTATTAGAGAAAGAATTCTCGTGACACTGAGCCACTTAAGGACTTTCACATTCTTGTTCTGAAGCCATTCCAGCGTTGCTTTGTCTGTATGCTTGGGGTCATTGTCCTGTTGGAACATAAATCTTTGCCCCAGTCTTAGGTCGTTTGCACTCTGAAGCAGGTTCTCATCAAGGATATGCCTGTATTTAGCTCCATTCATTGTTCCCTCTATCTTTACCAATCACCCAGTCCCTGCCGCTGAAAACCATCCCCATAGCATGATGCTGCACGGTAGGGGTGGTGTTAGACAGGTGACGAGCTGTGCCTGGTTTTCTCCAGACATAGCGTTTTTTTGCATTCAGGCAAAATAGTTAAATCTTTGTCTCATCAGACCACAGTATCTTTTGCCTTATGCTCTCAGAGTCTTTCACGTGCCTTTTTGCAAACTCCAGGCATGCTGTCATGTGCCTTTTTCTCAGGAGTGGCTTCCGTCTGGCCATTCTCCCATAAAGCCTAGATTGGTGAAGTGCTGTAGAGACTGTTGTCCTTCTGGCAGGTTTTTCCCATCTCAGCCAAGGAACTCTGTAGTTCTGTCAGAGTGGTCATTGGGTTCTTGGTCACCTCCCTGACCAAGGTCCTTCTTGCTTGGTTGCTTAGTTTGGTCGGACGGCCAGCTTTAGGCAGAGTCCATTTTTATTTATTTCCCAATGATGGAGAACACTGTGTGCTTAGAAACTTTCAACACTCTAGAAATTGTTTTATACCCTTCCCCAGATATATGCCTCATCACAATTCTATCTCGGCGAACTACAGACAGTTCCTTGAACTTCATGGTATAGTTTCTGCTCTGACATGCACTGTCAACTGTGGGACCTTAAATAGACAGGTGTGTTTCTTTCTAAATCATGTCCAAACAATTGAATTGGCCACAGGTGGACTCCAATCAAGTTGTAGCGACATCTCAAGGATGATAAAAGGTAATTGGATGCACCTGAGTTCATGTGGAGTGTATTTCATTTTCTAAAAATACAATATAAAACAAAAAAAAACACGTTTTCACTTTGTCAATATGAGGTATTGTGTGTAGATGGGTGAGATAAAAAATATATTTAATCAATTTTGAATTCAGACTGTAACAACAAAATGTGGAATAAGTCAAGGGGAATGAATAGGGAAAGTGGATAACTAGTCAGTTGCACATCTGAATGCATTCAACCAAAATGTGTCTTCCACATTTAACCCAACCCCTCTGAATCAGAGGAGCAGTGTGGGGGCTAACTGCCTTGCTCAAGGGCAGAACGGCAGATTTTTCCACCTTGCCGGATCAGGGATTCGAACAAGCAACCTTGCGGTTACAGTCCCAAAGTTCAAACCGCTAAGCTACCTGACGCCTCTGAAAGTATTGTATATCCCATGAAAGACCTAAATAAACCACTAATACAACCAACAAAGAAGTCGAGATAATTGCAGACTAGGGTTGCAAAATTTAGGTTTTCCAGGAAATCCTGGTAGAAGGATAAATGATTTATTGCTTATTCACTCCTGATTGCAGCAATCTTCCAACCGGGATTTCTGGAAAACCTGGGAATTTTTGGAACCTTACCGTGATTTTTCAACCCTATTGCAAATAGATGGTGTATACCTTCTTTCCCTTCTTGGTGGGTTTGATGTTGATCTTGGCTCTCTCCTGGAACGTCTGTCGGAGCACATGTCTGACTAGAGGCTCCCGAGCGATCTGCATGGCCACCATGTAGCGAGTCCCCTCCAGTACTGCCTCCGCTGTATTGAACTGGCTGCACAGGCAAAGAGAACAAATCAATCAATCAATCAATCAATTTTATTTTATATAGCCCTTCTTACATCAGCTAATATCTCGAAGATAACCCAAATGGTTGGGTTATCTTTATATGAAAGTGTATTCTGTATACATTTACGTCATTTAGCAGACGCTCTTATCCAGAGCGACTTACAGTTAGTGAGTGCATACATTTTCATACTGGCCCCCCGTGGGAAATGAACCCACAACCCTGGCGTTGCAAGCGCCATGCTCTACCAACTGAGCTACAGGGGACTACAATGTGCAATAATGTGTTGCTGGTTAACCTGCAGATGTAGTCCTTAGCCAGCTCCATTGGCTCAGCAGGAAACTGCTCTGTCTCGTGACGCTGGTAACTGTCACGTAGGTTCTCTCCAAACTGCTCTGGAGTCAGACCAAACTTCTTGGCCAGGCCATCTGATAAGAGAACCCTTTAAATGGTGGACTCAAAAACTGTTGCAAATACAGTCGGCTCGTGATACAGCAAGTGCACTTTGATTGGCAAACTCTGTTTAAGTACACTAGTCACAGTTTTTCAGTAGCACATTCTTTCGCAGGTTTTTGTATTATCACGAACTAACTGTATAGACCTGAGATGTATGGCACACAAATCTGTCTGTAATAGGTGCTGATAGTGACACCTACTGGACACACATGATAAAGCACTCACCCAGTCCTGCACCCTGGCAGATGCTGTACATATCCCTGCGAGATGCAAGCTTCAGGTCCGGCCCCTTCGGCTGCTCCTCTTCTTCCTCTTCCTCCTCCTCTACTTCCTGCTCATTACCTGCAAACAGAAGACATGAGAATTACTCTGATGAGGGCAAAAGTCCACAGTGCTTTCACGATCTTACAATATATAATCTAAATTGTACCATCTTCATCCACTTCTTTGATCTTCTTCAGCTTCTTCTTGCTGGACCTGGCTGCATTCTGCATCTTTGGAATATCCCGGCCATAGTACAGCAGGAAATGGTTGTAGACGTCGCTCAGTTCATCACTAGACTGGACATCCTTCAGCCTTGTCAGACAAACATAATCAGGTCAGCATTGTGATACAACAAAGATAATAAAGGTGTCATAACATGACATTTATATTTTAGTCATTTAGCAGACGCTCTTATCCAGAGCAACTTACAGGAGCAATTAGGGTTAAGTGCCTTGCTCAAGGGCACATCGACAGATTTTTCACCTAGTCGGCTCGGGGATTAGAACCAGCGACCTTTCGGTTACTGGCACTACGCTCTTAACCACTAAGCTACCTGCCGCCCCTGGACTAGCGTACTGTCCAGGGGGTGTACTTGTTACATCAAGCTGCCTCACACTACAGAAACAGGAGATAGGCTCCTGCCCTATGGTCCGTTCTGGCTCAGACAAGGCATACTTACAAACATGTTTGACATGACAAGCCTTACCTCTCTAAATCTGAAGTGTCTAGTGGTCGAATGCCATCAGACAGTGGCTTATCTGGGTCTGCTGAGATCTGTTCAAACTGGTATCCCTGCATCTTCTGGAACAAGCGTCTCAGGTTCTGTTTGCGGGTTTTCAGCTGGGTCCACTGAGGAGGAATGACAGTCCCACATTAAACAGAATAAATTAAGGGATAAAGTTAACAAAAATCCAATACTACAGTATATTACCTTCTCATCCCACTGCCAAACCTTCCACAGATCATTGATATTGAGTTCAGGCTCCACATACTCTTTCCTGTAGAACGCTATGAACGGAACCTAGAGGTGAAACAATAAAAGACAGTTGTATGAACTGTGAAAAATTATATGGAAGAACTCAACTTTACCTACGGTAATAGAGGGACTGTAATACCTCAAAGTGTTGGTTTCTCATGAAATTCAAAGCCTCTTTTATCTTCTGGATGGTGCTGGGGCCTTTTCTGCTGAAGGTAGTGGTTGGACCTCTGTCCAAATAGTCTGTGTTCTCCTGAAAACACAGAATATTTTATTTAAAAAACACAAGCATTTTAAAAACAGACCTACAGTGCATTCGGAAAGTATTCAGACCCCTTCCCTTTTTCCACATTTTGTTACGTTACAGCCTTATTCTAAAATGGATTCAATAAATGTTTTCCCTCATCTATCTACACACAATACCCCATAATGACAAAGCGAACACAGGTTTTTAGAAATTTTAGCAATACCTTATAGTGGCTTGCGAAAGTATTCACCCCCCTTGGCATTTTTCCTATTTTGTTGCCTTACAACCTGGAATTAAAATGGATTGTTGGGGGGTTTGTATCATTTGATTTACACAACATGCCTACCACTTTGAAAATGCAAAATATGTTTTCTTGTGAAACAAACAAGAAACAGAAAACTTGAGCGTGCATAACTATTCACCCCCCCAATGTCAATACTTTGTAGAGCCACCTTTTGCAGCAATTACAGCTCTATAAGCTTGGCACATCTAGCCACTGGGATTTATGCCCATTCTTCAAGGCAAAACTGCTCCATCTCCAAAATGGATGGGTTCCGCTGTTGTACAGCAATATTTAAGTCATACCACAGATTCTCAATTGGATTGAGGTCTGGGCTTTGACTAGGCCATTCCAAGATATTTAAATGTTTCCCCTTAAACCACTCGAGTGTTGCTTTAGCAGTATGCTTAGGGTCATTGTCCTGCTGGAAGGTGAACCTCCGTCCCAGTCTCAAATTCCCTCAAGAATTTCCCTGTTTTTAGCACCATCCATCATTCCTTCAATTCTGACCAGTTTCCCAGTCCCTGCTGATGAAAAACATCCCCACAGCATGATGCTGCCACCACCATGCTTCACTGTGGGGATGGTGTTCTCGGGGTGATGAGAGGTGTTGGGTTTGCGCCAGACATAGCGTTATCCTTGATGGCCAAAAAGCTCAATTTTAGTCTCATCTGACCAGAGTACCTTCTTCCATATGTTTGGGGAGTCTCCCACATGCCTTTTGGCAAACACCAAACACGTTTGCTTATTTTTTTCTTTAAGCAATGGCTTTTTTCTGGCCACTCTTCCGTAAAGGCCAGGTCTGTGGAGTGTACGGCTTAATGTGGTCCTATGGACAGATACTGCAATCTCCGCTGTGGAGCTTTGCAGCTCCTTCAGGGTTATCTTTGGTCTCTTTGTTGCCTCTCTGATTAATGTCCTCCTTGCCTGGTCCGTGAGTTTTGGTGGGCGGCCCTCTTTTGGCAGGTTTGTTGTGGTGCCATATTCATTCCATTTTTTTTAATAATGGATTTAATGGTGCTCCGTGGGATGTTCAAAGTTTCAGATATTTTTTTATAACCCAACCCTGATCTGTACTTCTCCACAACTTTGTCCCTGACCTGTTTGGAGAGCTCCTTGGTCTTCATGGTGCCGCTTGCTTGGTGGTGCCCATTGCTTAGTGGTGTTGCAGACTCTGGGGCCTTTCAGAACAGGTGTATATATACTGAGATCATGTGACAGATTATGTGACACTTAGATTGCACACAGGTGGACTTTATTTAACTAATTATGTGACTTCTGAAGGTAATTGGTTGCACCAGATCTTATTTAGGGGCTTCATAGCAAAGGGGGTGAATCCATATGCACGCACCACTTTTCCGTTATTTATTTGTTATAATTTTTTGAAACAAGTAATTTTTTTCATTTCACTACACCAATTTGGACTAATTTGTGTATGTCCATTACATGAAATCCAAATAAAAATCAATTTAAATTACAGGTTGTAATGCAACAAAATAGGAAAAACAACAAGGGGGATGAATACTTTCGCAAGGCACTGTATTTACATAACTATTCAGACCATTTGCTATGAGACTCGAAATTGAGCTCAGGTGCATCCTGTTTCCATTGATCATCCTTGAGATGTTTCTTCAACTTGATTGGAGTCCACCTGTGGTAAATTCAATTGATTGGACATGATTTGGAAAGGCACACACCTGTCTATATAAGGTCCCACAGTTGACAGTGCATGTCAGAGCAAAAACCAAGCCATGAGGAATTGTCCGTAGAGCTCCGAGACAGGATTGTGTCGAGGCACAGATCTGGGGAAGGGTACCAAAACATTTCTGCAGCATTGAAAGTCCCCAAGAACACAGCGGCCTCCATCATTCTTAAATGGAAGAAGTTTGGAACCACCAAGACTCTTCCTAGAGCTGGCCGCCCGGCCAAACTGAGCAATCGGGGGAGAAGGGCCTTGGTCAGGGTGGTGACCAAGAACCCGATGGTCACTCTGACAGAGCTCCAGAGTTCCTCTGTGGAGATGGGAGAACCTTCCAGAAGGACAACCATCTCTGCAGCACTCCACCAATTAGGCCTTTATGGTAGAGTGGCCGGACGGAAGCCACTCCTCAGTAAAAGGCACATGACAGCCCGCTTGGAGTTTGCCAAAAGGCACCTAAAGGACTCTCAGACCATGAGAAACAAGATTCTCTGGTCTGATGAAACCAAGATTGAACTCTTTGGCCTGAATGCAAAGCGCCACGTCTGGAGGAAACCTGGCACCGCTCATCACCTGTCCAATACCATTCTTACGGTGAAGCATGGTGGTGGCATTATCATGCTTTGGGGATGTTTTTCAGTGGTAGGGACTGGGAGACTAGTCAGGATCGAGGGAAATATGAACGGAGCAAAGTACAGAGAGATCCTTGATGAAAACCTGCTCCAGACCACTCAGGACCTCAGACTGGCTTCGGGACAAGTCTCTGAATGTCCTTGAGTGGCCCAGCCAGAGCCCGGTCTTGAACCCGATCTAACATCTCTGGAGAGTCCTGAAAATAGCTGTGCAGCAACACTCCCCATCCAACCTGACAGAGCTTGAGAGGATCTTCAGAGAAGAATGGGAGAAACTCCCCAAATACAGATGTGCCAAGCTTGTAGCGTCATACCCAAGAAGACTCGAGCCTGCAATCGCTGCCAAAGGAGCTTCAACAAAGTACCCACTACAGAATGGCGCCGGAGAAGATGGCTGCCGTTTTACAGCCCTCTAACCAATTGTACTATTATGTGTGTTTTTCCGCGTTATTTGTAATTTATTTTGTACATAATGTTTCTGCCATCGTATCTTATAACCAAAAAGAGCTTCTGGATATCAGGACAGCGATTACTCACCTCGTATTGGACGAAGATTTTTTCTTCAACGAGGCGTCCGCGAAGGATATCCTACAGACACCCGACAAGGCCCAAATCCCCGTCATTCGCATGAGAAAGAGACAGAGATATTGTGGACGTAGGTCGGGGTGCCTTGTAAGGATCCGACGGCAAGCGAGTAAACTGCCTCTCCCATCAATCCTATTAGCCAATCTTCAATCATTTGAGAATAAATTGGATGACCTAAGATTACGGTTATCCTACCAACGGGACATTAAAAACTGTAATATCTTATGTTTCACTGAGTCGTGGCTTAACGACGACATGGACAACATACAGCTAGCGGGCTATACGCTACATCGGCAGGATAGAACGGCTGACTCCGGTAAGACAAGGGGTGGCGGTCTGTGTATATTTGTAAACAACAGCTGGTGCACAAAATCTAATACTAAGGAAGTCTCGAGGTTTTGCTCGCCTGAGGTAGAGTATCTTATGATAAGCTGTAGACCACACTATTTACCAAGAGAGTTTTCATCTATATTTTTAATAGCTGTCTATTTACCACCACAAACCAATGCTGGCATTAAGATTGCACTGAATGAGCTGTATAAGGCCATTAGTGAACAGGAAAACGCTCATCCAGAGGCAGCGCTCCTAGTGGCCGGGCACTTTAATGCAGGGAAACTTAAATCCGTTCTACCTAATTTCTACCAGCATGTTAAATGTGCAACCAGAGGAAAAAAAAACTCTAGACCACCTTTACTCCACACACAGAGATGCATACAAAGCTCTCCCTCGCCCTCCATTTGGCAAATCTGACCATAACTATATCCTCCTGATTCCTGCTTATAAGCAAAAACTAATGCAGGAAGCACCAGTGATTCAGTTAATAAAAAAGTGGTCAGATGACGCAGATGCTAAGCTACAGGACTGTTTTGCTAGCACAGACTGGAACATGTTCCGGGATTCTTCAGATAGCATTGAGGAGTACACCACATCAGTCACTGGCTTCATCAATAAGTGCATCGATGATGTCGTCCCCACAGTGACCGTACGTACATACCCCAGCCAAAAGCCATGGATTACAGGAAACATCCGCACTGAGCTAAAGGGTAGAGCTGCCGCTTTCAAGGAGCGGGACTCTAACCCGGACGCTTATAAGAAATCCTGCTATGCCCTCCGACGAACCATCAAACAGGCAAAGAGTCAATACAGGACTAAGATTGAATTGTACTACACCGGCTCTGACGCTCGTCGGATGTGGCAGGGCTGGAAAACTATTACAGACTACAAAGGGAAGCACAGCCGCGAGCTGCCCAGTGACACAAGACTTCCAGACGAGCTAAATCACTTCTATGCTCGCATCGAGGCAAGCAACACTGAAGCATGTATGAGAGCACCAGCTGTTCCGGATGACTATGTGATCACGCTCTCCGTAGCCGATGTGAGTAAGACTTTTAAGCAGGTCAACATTCACAAGGCCGCAGGGCCAGATGGATTACCAGGACGTGTACTCCGAGCATGTGCTGACCAACTGGCAAGTGTCTTCACTGACATTTTCAACATGTCCCTGACTGAGTCTGTAATACCAACATGTTTCAAGCAGACCACCATAGTCCCCGTGCCCAAGGACACTAAGATAACCTGCCTAAATGATAACCTGCGTCTGTAGCTATGAAGTGCTTTGAAAGGCTGGACATGGCTCACATCAACACCATTATCCCAGAAACCCTAGACCCAATCCAATTTGCATACCGCCCCAACAGATCCACAGATGATGCAATCTCTACTGCACTCCACACTGCCCTTTCCCACCTGGAAAAGAGGAACACCTACGTGAGAATGCTATTCATTGACTACAGCTCAGCATTCAACACCATAGTGCCCTCAAAGCTCATCACTAAGCTAAGGATCCTGGGACTCAACACCTCCCTCTGCAACTGGATCCTGGACTTCCTGACGGGCCGCCCCCAGGTGGTAAGGGTAGGTAACAACACATCTGCCACACTGATCCTCAACACGGGGGCCCCTCAGGGGTGCGTGTTCAGTCCCCTCCTGTACTCCCTGTTCACCCATGACTGCATGGCCAGGCACGACTCCAACACCATCATTAAGTTTGCCGACGACACAACAGTAGTAGGCTTGATTACCAACAATGATGAGACAGCCTATAGGGAGGAGGTCAGAGACCTGGCCGTGTGGTGCCAGGATAACAACCTCTCCCTCAACGTGACCAAGACAAAGGAGATGATTGTGGACTACAGGAAAAAAAAGAGGACTGAGCACGCCCCCATTCTCATCGACGGGGCTGTAGTGGAACAGGTTGAAAGCTTCAAGTTCCTTGGTGTCCACATCACCAACGAACTATCATGGTCCAAACACACCAAGACAGTCGTGAAGAGGGCACGACAAAGCCTATTCCCCCTCAGGAGACTGAAAAGATTTGGCATGGGTCCTCAGATCCTCAAAAAGTTCTACAGCTGCACCATCGAAAGCATCCTGACTGGTTGCATCACCGCCTGGTATGGCAACTGCTCGGCCTCCGACCGCAAGGCACTACAGAGGATAGTGCGTACGGCCCAGTGCATCACTGGGGCCAAGCTTCCTGCCATCCAGGACCTCTATACCAGGCGGTGTCAGAGGAAGGCCCTCAAAATTGTCAAAGACTCCAGTCACCCTAGTCATAGACAGTTCTCTCTGCTACCGCACGGCAAGCGGTACCGGAGTGCCAAGTCTAGGTCCAAAAGACTTCTCAACAGCTTCTACCCCCAAGCCATAAGACTCCTGAACAGCTAATCATGGCTACCCGGACTATTTGCACTGCCCCCCCCACCCCCACCCCATCTTTTTACGCTGCTGCTACTATGTTAATTATTTATGCATAGTCACTTTAACTCTACTCACATGTACATATTACTTCAACTACCTCAACTAGCCGGTGCCCCCGCACATTGACTCTGCACCGGTACCCCCCTGTATATATAGCCTCCCTACTGTTATTTTATTTTACTTCTGCTCTTTTTTTCTCAACACTTTTTTGTTGTTATTTTATTTTACTTTTTTATTAAAAATAAATGCACTGTTTGTTAAGGGCTGTAAGTAAGCATTTCACTGTAATGTCTGCACCTGTTGTATTCGGCGCATGTGGCCAATAAAATTTGCTTTGATTTGATTTGAGAACCAATTTAAACCAATTTAATCCATTTTAGAATAAGGCTGTAATGTAACAAAATGTGGAAAAAATGAATTGGTCTGAATACTTTCCGAATGCACTGTAGACTGTAGCATCAACTTTAACTAATTGTCTTATGAGACCTAGCTAAAAGATCCTCACTCCAGTACCTGCATGGATATGGTGAGAGTAGAGAAGGCATTCCTATAGATCCACTCAGCCTCCTGTTCCAGCTCATCATCCTCTGCAGGCTTCACACAAGTGGAGCGCAACTAAACAAATTAAATGTACAGATTATTGTATGGGACAATATACAACGTTTTTGAGAAAGATAATTAGACATTTTGTATTTTATTTAGTAAATGGTATTTATTGGTTTCTTTTCATTTTGATAAGAGATGAAAATGTAATGAATTTAAGGTTATTTGTGGATGTAAAAATCAAAGTGTACCGATTTTAAGGTTGTGTCATTATATTTGGGGTGGTGTGGGGTCACGAGAAACTATTGTGAAAAAAATCTGGTCTGCAAAGATTCTTGCTGAATAATTTTTTTAAAATATATTTTTTCTTTATTTCACCTTTATTTAACCAGGTAAGCCAGTTGAGAACAAGTTCTCATTTACAACTGTGACCTGGCCAAGATAAAGCAAAGCTGTGCGATAAAAACAACAACAACACAGAGTTGCATATGGAATAAACAAAACGTACAGTCAATAACACAATAGAAAATATATATACAGTGTGTGCAAATGTAGTAAGTTATGGAGGTAAGGCAATAAATAGGCCATAGTGCCAAATAATTACAATTTAGTATTAACACTGGAGTGATAGATGTGCAGAAGATGATGTGCAAATAGAGATTCTGGGGTGCAAATGTCCAAAATAAATAACAATGTAAATAACAATATGGGGATGAGGTAGTTGGGTGGGCTAATTACAGATGGGCTGTGTACAGGTGCAGTGATCGGTAAGCTGCTCTGACAACTGATGCTTAAAGTTAGTGAGAGAGGTAAGTGTCTCCAGCTTCAGAGATTTTTGCAGTTCGTTCCAGTCATTTGCAGCAGAGAACTGGAAGGAATGGCGGCCAAAGGAGGTGTTGGCTTTGGGGATGACCAGTGAGATATACCTGCTGGATCTAAGATAAGGCGAGGATTTGCCTAGTTTGAATACCACTGGGCTACAGAGTCAAGCCCTTAACAGTTATAGGTGAATTTCAGGCGCTCACGTGTCCCTATGACTATGAATATGTCCCAAATGGCACCCTATTTCCTATAGAAGTATACACACCTGGAACCTCTCTGGCATGTCAGTGGAGCGGATCTCATTGTCCTGGTCCGTCATGTGACTGCTCTCCAGCTCGCTGGGCTCATAGATCTCAAAGATACTGCGTCGGCCCACCCTCTTCTTGGCTTGCTTCTTGGGCCGGTCCCATGACTCTTCATCTGCATCCTCCTCCTCCTCTGCATTTTCATAGGCTTCAGTGTCAAACTCGGCAAAGTCAAAGTCCCCTCCGAATATCTCCTGGGCCTCCTGAAGGGCTCTGTAAAAAGGGAGTGGTGCTCAGTATTAAATAATGCAGATGAGTAAAGGTAAACATGGCTCTGTCCCAAACGGCACCCTATTCCCTTTATAGTGCACTACTTTTAAGGGAATAGGGTGCCATTTGGGACACATCTAACATATCAAATTCTATTGCACAGATAGGACTTCTTACTTTCGGGTGAGCTTGCAGGTGGAGAGGCTACTGCAAATGGGGAACTAAGTAATTAAATTAAATGTCAGAATCACTTACGCATCTGTATATCCAGGCAGCTTCTTCCTCCACTTGGGTTTCTTCAAGGGCTGTCCGTCATCATCCACAATAAAGTCATCGATATCTGAGGAAAAAAAATATTTTCAAATGGCTTTTTAAAAAGCTGCTAACTCAAAACCACTCCACTGTTTATAGATGAAGCAACTGCAATGTTTCATACCAGACTCTTCATCGTCCTCCTCCTCATCCTCCCTGGGATGCAAAGGCACATCCAATGCCTCGCCCTCATCCGCTCCTGTCCCCATGAAGATCTCATCCGCTATCATGTTCTTCTCATGGGCCTCCCTGACGTCGTCATCTCCCTCCTCATCCTCATCGTCCGACATGTCTCGCAAACGACGGAACTTTTGCTGTTTATGGGGATAAGGAAGGAGTAGAGGTATCAGAAAAACATTTTAGTCAATCTCCTTTTACATACTATTTTTAGAGAGTGGGACTTTGGGACATGACATGAGACCTCAGCTGTGTGCTATACAATGTCCATGATGACAATGCATTTTGCTTGCCATAATGGCATCGAAATATTTACCCTTTTCACTTTTACTCCCAAATTCTCCTCAATGAGATCAATATCATCATCATCCAAGCGGTCGTCAAAGCCTGTAGACAGAAAACGGAAGATACTCAAACACCAAAGGTGATTATTGTTGGTACACATGATTCTGCTTCACACTGTTTGGTGTAACAAATCATGAAGGCTTGAATCTGAATGGGCAAAATTTAATCAAAGGGTTTACGCCATTATAGTTTATTCAAAGCCTGAAGAGATAGCCTACAATGTGGCTAGGAAGCAATCACAATGCAGCCCAGACAGCAATAAATACAGGACCAATTTATGAATGACCACTTACTTCTCTTCCTCTTATGGTGTCCAATTTCCTCCCCAGAGTCACTATCTCCTTCTTTATCTCTCTTCCCTTCCTTCTCCTCCTCTTCCTCTCCCTCCCCTTCATCCACACCATCATCAATCAGACCACGGAGGTTTCCATCATCATCTTGGTCCTCTGTATTCTCCTCTTCCTCCTCCTCATCTAAGTCACAAATCAAGAAGTTGTACATCAAGTAAGATGACACATGACATTGTGTGTAGCCTGCACATTGTTACCATTGATCTTATTTAGGGTCATTGTGATGATAAACTGTCAAGGGACATCTTTGAAATGAAAACAAAATTATTCACATGCTGTACTCCCAAATTCCTCCTCAGACTCCTCTGCTTCACTCGCGATGAAATCCATGTTTAGGGACTGTTGAAGAGATAATAAACAACATGATTTTCATTAGCTGGTTGAGTCAAAGAACATTCTTTGGAAATAATGCTATGGGACATGACATAGGACAAAATTACTCCAAAAACGTTAACTAATTTATTACACCATATTTGACAGTTTAAATGTTTTAAAGTATGGCTATGTCATAAGAAAATCTTATTGTAAACAATGAAATATTAGGCTACAATAAACTATGATGACAAGACGCTGCTGTCTGCCATGGCTGACTGGTAAAGATGCAGAATATTATTAACGTTATAGCCAGGAAGCGAGGACATTGCTAGATATCAAAAGGTTTAGCTAGTTAGCGACAATAGAAATGCATATAACTTTGCAAATAATCAAAGGTGACCTTAGCTATCCAACGGATATCAGGCTGGAGCTGCAGGTAGCAATCTTCTTAGCTACAACAAGATAGCTAGCTAGCTTGCATAACAACAATGGAAAGAAATGGCTACCGAGCTAGCCCCATCTATTGTAGCTATCATACAGCTGTATTGCCAGAAACAGCTGGCTGACTCCCATTGCCCATAACCGTACATACCTATGCGACAGGAGTCAGGACTGGCTCCTTTTTAAATTGACTGATTAGCAAAGCGGGATATGGAAAATAGATTCATTTCCCAACAACCAAAATGTGTTAGCTAGCAAGGCGCAAACAAATTTCCAAGACTGGAACACAGAAAAATCCCTCAAATTCTAAATGAAGGCGAGGCACGTCACAGATTAACATAGCTCTCCTTGGATGGTAGAGTGCAATCCTTGCAAAATACTTTTCAAAGTCTTCGTGTATTCTTTTTCTAGTGTTATGGTATGCAACATAAAACAGTTTGTTTTTGCATTACTATTCGATGACTTTTTGTAATATTTTTAAAGTAACATAGAAAATGTTATTCAGTTTAATTGGACCTTGTGTTTACTGTATTATATAATCAACTCCAGAACACAAAATTCACTTCAAATATAACTTTATTTTAGTGTTGTTACACAATGTCACAGAAAATTGAATTTATCTGAAGCTCACAATTTCAAGTATCAGATTGTAACGGGCTATAATAATCAGAACCAAAATCACAATTAAAAAACTCCACAATCCTACAGTTTTAAACCAACTTTAAATCATCTTTGAGATGATCAAGGTGCATCAGATTCCTCCTGCAGGACTGCTCTATGACACTTGCTACACAGGTCGCATTTGAACATCTCCAATCTAGATATGCAAAGAGTACAGTAGTTGTAATTTGTGAAATTATGGAAAACTTTCCCCCATTCATTCAAACATTGATTGAAGTGATCAGAGTGTGCAGAGAATACCGAGACAGACATATGATAGACAAGTGTCCTACTTACGTGAACATGTGGCGGGATGTGCCTAAAACATACAGTACGTTACAACACTGGCAATGTCGACTGCTTCCAAACACTGTAGGAAGGCAGTAGAATTATAACGTACACATTCAAAAACAATCGTATAGCCTGTATGCACAGATATCATTATTATTGTTATTATTCACCTTCATATTGTCGTAGGTAGCAGCAGCCTTCTCTGGATGGAGGCTGTGAAGCCGGAAAGCATATTCTGTTTCCACCATACCAGGAGATATACACTGTCCAGAGGAAAACAGAAAAACTGGGTTAGTGTCAGTTATACATTAGATGTCTCTAACGATTACATTATGCATTAGCTAGATAAATATGTTGATTTTAAACATCAATGTGGTATGTTGCCAATAATAGAACACCATTGTTTTCAGTAGTGTACTGTTGGTGTACTGTACTCACAATATGATAAATCAGCACAATTCAGTGCTGGGTGGCTACGGACGATTTATCATCTCATTTACAATAGAATGAAATCTTTCTAATAAAAATACTAGGAATAAATAACTTACCGTGGCTCGAATGTGGGTTTTAGCCTCTCGCAGCTCTTGCCGCAGCTCCTCTGTCAGGGCAGTCACAGCTGTTTATATTTATGATGTGTCCATCATCCACCTTCCTCTCCCTTCATAGACTGGTATGCCTCTCGTGTGCAGATAGACAATGCAATGATTTTCACCTGTAAAATACATCCGTTAAATATCAATGTGATATTAAATGATGGAGTGCATGACACAGAACGTGACGCCATCCCTTGTTTTTTTTTTTTTTTTTTTATAAATATGGATAGTGACATTAACACAGAGATTAAAATGTACATCAATAACAAATGCTTTTAAATGATGGAAGCATGACACAGAATAGCGACAATAATCCCTTGCTTTTTGACTGTAAATCGCTCGAGTGTCTTCTAAATCACTTAAATTAAAAATAAACAAATATATAAATATGGACAGCAGTTGACATAAACACAGAGATCATTGAGAGTCGCACCTACATCAATCATTTTCCTCCAGCCATCTGTTTTGCCATTCAACAGTGGCTCTGGATGGGCCAGGCCAGCATTGTTGATGACCACATCCACTCCCTGATGGAGAGTCTTGATGGCAGAGAACATGGAAAGGATATTCTCAGGTCACATTTGTAGGGAACAATGGTGCCACTATGCCCATTGCTCTGATACTCTGCTGGCAGTTTCTAAAATCAAGAGGTACGAGGACTTCATGCACTATGTTCCATAGGTTAAAATGCCGTGGTGAAGCCTGTGGGGATCTATTTTCTCATAGCTGGATGTGATGACTACCTTGGAAGGAATGCATTGATGATTAAGTATGAAGGGTTTGTACTGTACTGATATAAATTGTTTCCCCTAACAAGCTGTGATTAATGTGAGGAGCTGTTTTAGGGAGTAGGGGGAGATAAGAACTTGTGTCTCAAAATATTAGACTACACTGCCTCTTTGTGATCTGTGAACCGTCCAAGGACGTGTACTGCAAAAGTGCTGACTTTCTGGATAAGTTGCAAAACAACTAGACACCTGGCAACAGTGGAGCGCCAAGGGTCTGGGACCAGCCTGTGCGCCAACGGATTGGCTGAGTAAGTCTAAACCACGCTCAGTCTCTACTCTGATTGGCCAGCAGGGAGCGGGAACTATCTCTGTCCGAGTATTTTAAGAAGAACTCATAACAATGGCTTAGTTCTCTGAGTGCCCTGCGAGGTATTTCAGTGGACCCGTATATACGAACATCATATTTACCATTGAAGTGGTTTGCATTAATTAAAATACTAGTCTATTTAGAAGACGTGTATTGACCTCTTTTGTTCCTAATACCAGATTTGAATTGACGCAATTTAACAAGCCATATGAGAATAATTCACAAATGTGCTTCATTTGACACAGAATGTTTTCTACAATATCATATTCTAGTGTGAGGACTGTGGAACACATCATAAAAGTAATGAAACCGTTTGCAAAGAATACTTCACAATTTACATAGATCAGGCGTCATTAGACTGTAGTAAGCTATAATAGCTTGTTAATGTTAATAATGTTAGGCTCCTTTAGTCCAATATTGGGCTAAGATAGTAGAATAGTAGCCTAGTCATCACAATTGAAATAGTAGCAACAACAAATAGGCTACACTTACGCTTTGCGTCACATCACATGGCCCACAGCAGACAACCTTCATGCGGTGCTGGACAAGAGCCTTGCAAATAGCCGCTCCGATTCCAACAGAAGCCCCAGTAACAAGCGCCACTCTATCTTTCCAGCGATCCATAGACTAAGCTCTCTGTCTGCCAATAAAAAGATGTGTGTTAACTTAAAATACATTTCAGAGAACACAGGACCTGATGGTTTCACCATTTTTGATAGACCTTTTGACCTAAGGAGAGTTGAATATGTAAATCCCTTTACAATAAATTGATGTTAACTATAAAAGTGTAGGTAGGCTAAATCATGTTTATGATCAGGGAAAGGAAACAATATAAGGACATTACATTTTACCAGACGCTCTTATCCAGAGTGAGTGCATACATTTTCATACTGGCCCCCCGTGGGAAACGAACCCACAACCCTGGCGTTGCAAGCGCCATGCTCTACCAACTGAGCTACAGGGGACTAAAGAGCATGTTGGCAGATGCCAGTGGTGGAACCACTTCACACAGGTGTCAAGTCATTATACACTCCTAGAAAAAAAGGTGCTATCTAGAACCTAAAATTGTTATTCGGCTGTCCCCATAGATGGGTTAGCTGACAACATCACGAAAAACGATGTACGCGCTTCCATGGGGCAGAAGTCAGCGTGTTGTTGTGATTCTGGATGGCCAGATAGCTAGCAAGAATTACAAGAAACTGCCATGTTGGGAATCGTAAGTGGCTCGTTTCAGCTCATTTCATCATGTTCTTGATACCATGTCTTGTTTTGAGGTATTTTGACTGATTTCATGTCAATGCTAATATGGCTAAAATTCGCTAGCTAACAAACCAACAACTGTAACGGTGTATTTGAGAAACAATAAGTGCTCATTGTGCAAATGTATTTATGTTTTCAATAAACATTGGAGACCATATAGTTTACATTTTGTCAACAATCGAAGCCAACCCCATCTGTTTTGCCCCATAGTTGTGCACGCGTCGGTTTTGTTGCTAAACAACCAACCCCTCTATAGGAAAACCCTTTGAAGAACCCTGGTTGGTTCCCAGGTATAACACTTTTGGTTCCAAATATAACTGTTTTGGGTTCCATGTAGAACCCTTTCCACAGAGGGTTCTACATGGAACCCGAAATGCTTCTACCCGGAACCAAAAAGGGTTATCTTATGGGGACAGCCGAAGAACCCTTTTGGAACCCTTTTATCTAAGAGTGTATGTCAATGAGCTCCAACATGGATTTGTAAATGCTGTCATGTGAGGAGTATTCGAGGAGCATGGAAATTACACATTGACTCCTGGGGGTACTGGTGTGGTCTGACATCCAGGGCTGGTTTCAGGCATAACCCACCTAGCAAAATGTTGTTGAAAAGACATTGAAAAGACGACTATGCCCGACGTCCAATCTACATTTGGTTTTGGTTGAAAATACGTCCTTTTCATGTCATTGAAAATACGTCGTTTTTATGTTGTTGAATAGACGACTATACAAAGACGCCAGTCTACGTTTGGTTTTGGTTGAATGTGAAAGTTAAAAATATGTATTTTTGTTAAACATAATTTCAACGAACTTGCATAAAAATGGACACAGTATAAAAAAATGATCTATGGACAATGTTATTAACAATCATTCATCACTCCAGTATTGACACACATTATTTATTTACAACATTCAAGTGCTAATTGTCTTTATTCCACTACTGAAGAAGCATGAATCAAATCACCTACTCATATTTCAAACATCCAGCGTGACAAAAGCAAATGTTTGTATTATTCCATGCCTCACCATTAAGTTAATTATTGCCAAAACATATTAACAAAAGGGGTTTCCATTCAGTTTTGATATTTCATATTTACATTTAATGTAACATTTAGTAATCATCATTATGAATGCAACCAACAGATAATTTATTTGTACATTTATATTGTTTACAAACAATGGAGTAAAACAGCTTATCATTTTGGGTTGGACATGGCATCCTATACTTACTCTTTTAATCAATGGCATCAACATATTGGAAAACCAATCAACCGACCAATCAACCAAAACCAGTGAACAAATACCTGAAAAACTAACACATATCTTGGTCCATCTTAGTATGAAAAACAGTATCAATTCAGTTTGTATTTACACCTTGTCTAAATTGTGCATGGTATGTACAAAACGTTATTGACATCTGCTCTTTCCATGACAGACTGACCAGATGAATCCAGGTGAAAGCTACGATCCCTTATTGATGTCACTTGTTAAATCCACTTCAATGAGTGTAGATGAAGGGCACAGGTTAAATAAAGATTTTTAAGCCTTGAGACAATTGAGACATGGACTGTGTGTGTGCAACATAAGCGATTGCTTAGGGCCCCCGGGCTGCTAGGGTGTAGAATTGCAGAAAACCTCCTTTAAAACTGCAACATTTTCTCTACGGCCCATGGCAAAATGTGTATAATTGCAGGAAATGATTTAAAAAAAAAATCTCCACAGGTCAAGAGGGGGGCCACTAAAATGTTTTGGCGTGAGGTGTGAGCCCCCCCAACCAAATCTTGCTTAGGGCCCCCAAAAGGCTACCTGCTGACATCTCTTGGGGGTGACTCTATTTTTGCCTCAAAGGTCAGTACCCAGCTAGCACATAACGTTCTGAGAACCATATGTTTCTTAGGGCTTGGTGAGAGCGTGGATGTCCTATGGTTATTTAGCATACAACTTTCCCACAACTTGCTGGGAATGTTGCAGGATAGTTGCTTGGCTTTGGAACATTATCAGTACATTTAACTATTTATTTTATTTTTTACATATACATTCCGTTCTAAGCATCAACAAAACTCTCTCTATCCTCTATCTTGTTAAATGTGTTCAGGTTTGTTGGACGCGCCCACTAATTGGCCACACCTGATCTTAATGAGTGCTTGTTTCCTTTGAAATGGGGTCTGTTTGAATAGACTCAAATAAACAGCTATGTATGCGTAAAAAAAAACATTGCATGCTAGCGCCATACTGGTGGTGCAGTGGACTAATTACATGGATAGAAAACAGAAGACTATACGTTCGAATCTCACTGATGCCATGTCACAATAAGAAATACATGTGTTTGCATGATTAATGCCTAAGGAAATAAATTTCCAAGTGTCCTGTCTGTGCTTGGAGTTAAAAAAAGTTAACTCAAAATAAGCTAGCAGTGTTATTAAAAGTGTTATTGAAACATTCAGTGAACGTTTTAAGGAAGTTATTCAAAAACCTCTAATTAACCTCCAATTTCCATTCTCAGAGCGTTAATAAAACCTCCCAGAGTAAAACGTTCTCAGAACCTCTCTGCAACCAAAAATAAACATTCCCAGAACAGGCAAAATGTTCACTTCCATTCTCAGAATGTTTAAAAATATATATGTTTATCAGTCAGGAAACTTATGGCTTCGTTTCCAGAACCAATGGGAAACCAAAAACGTATGCTCCCACAACTTCCAAATAAACTAAATGTGCTAGCTGGGTACAGTTTACTCATCATGTGAGAGTACACCACATCTCAAATCATATAATTATATGCCAACTATCTAATCAGAGTAGTACTGAGGAAATAGTCAACAAGGAGTGTCTCACTAATATATTCAATAGTTTTGACTGTCTACAAATCGCTCTTGACTGGGGTATATGACATTTGTTAACGAATGCCTATCAATTTATAAATACCAACAGCCCTATGTAAATAAATCTTATCAACAGGTATGGATACAACCTAGTGGGAGGGGTTGCCTTTTCTAGAGGAACTTTCCACCCAACATTTATAAACCAGGTGCTCTGCTTATTGGCATCACTTAGAAAATAACTGAATCTGTTTGACCCAACCAAACACAAATCACAATGCGTTTACTTATTTCATCATTTTGAAGATTCAAGGGGCAGGTGAATTTATTTATTTATTTATTCAATCCTATTAACTAAAATGGGTTGAAACTTACTGTATTTGTTGTATTTGTGTGTACTTGCATTGGGTATACAATGTTGGGGAAGCTACTCTGAATATGTAGTTAGCTAAGTTATTCATTTTTAAGTTAAAATACAGCAAAGCTATGCTTGAGTGGAAAGTAACTAAATATACTACAAACTACAGTAAGAACTTGGTACTTTGGAATTTCACAACAATACTATAGAAATGCATAAATAAAATAGTACTTTTGTCTGAAATGTAATACAACAAAGAACTGATGTGACTCACAGTAGCAGATCAATCAGAAGGCAAAATGCTCAGTGTGTATGAAATATAAATGGTCAATTATAGAGACATGATCAGCCCAACAGCCTGCTTATTATAAGGAAATATCTCAAGAAATGCACTGGAATGACAGGGAAATGATGACATTTTGTCAAAGCTTACCCCACTATGTGGTGATGAAACTACTGAATTAGACACATGATTTTGAAATTCAACTACCACTTTCTCAGAGAATCAAATGTTCTGAATTTACATTTCTATCACCTGTGGCAGGTAAAGCTTTCAAATGGTATCTGTCAAAAGCCAATAATATTGGGTGTTTCTGTATAGCTGTCTGTATATGATTGACAAAGGTTGACCTTAACAGTGAACTTTGCAACACATCTTATGATATCATTTATTTACAATTTAGGAAGTTAAATACTCAGACAGAACTTGTTTATGCTGTATCTTAAACACTAAAATACCATTGGATGATTCATGATGTGCTTAAATCTCTTCTCTAGATTGGTGCTACCAGTCCCATGTTACATGTGGTGGCAACTGCACAGGTAAACCTTACAGTGCCTTTGGAAAGTATTCAGACCCTTTGACTTTTTCCACATTTTGTTACGTTACAGCCTTATTCTAAAATGGATTAAATAGTTTTCCCCCTCATCAATCTACATACAATACCCCATAATGACATATATAAATACAAAAAACAGGAAATATCACATTTACATAAGTATTCAGATCCTTTACTCAGGACTTTGTTGAAGCACCTTTGGCAGCAATTACAGCATTGAGATTTCTCTGTACTTCGCTCCATTCATCTTTGCCTCGATCCTGACTAGAATCCCAGTACCTGCCGCTGAAAAACATCCCCACAGCATGATGCTGCCACCACCATGCTTCACCGTAGGGATGGTGCCAGGTTTCC